GTACAGACAAATCTGCTTTTTTATGTCTTGCCTGTCAAGCAACTTGCTATTTAATATCCTTTTTGAGGAAAATAAGTTTGGAGAGGGGAGCATAAAAAGTTTAATTTTTTTGATAATTATATATTAAAGCAGGCTTTTTAAAACTTAGAAATTCCCTCTTCTTCTTACTAACGGGACCTTTCTTGTCCTCTGTGGATGGATTTATTCTTGTGGACGTAAATAATAGGAAAAAAGAAGATTTTAAAAAGATAATTTTGTTAAGTGTAAAAAAGTGTATAAAGGTGTAAAATAGTGCAAAAAAGTTTAGTGCACCACCCCCCGGCCCCCTGCATATTTAAGTTTAAATTTAGGAAAATCAAGGTTGTGGTGGAATATATTTGTGGTGGAATATATTTGTAGTGGAATATATTTGCAGTGCAGCAATTCAAATTATAACCAGCTTTGTTCAAATTTTAACCAGCTTTGTTCAGATTGTAATTAGCTTTGTTCATGTCCTCTTAGTTTAGTTTGATCATTCGATATTCTGTGGACTGCTATTGTCTCTTCTTGCCCTTGTTAAATAATTATTCTCCAGTTTAGACTTGACAACTTGAATTTAGGTACAGTAATGTTACCCGGTCTTCTATATGGCTAGTGTATAAATGTGATTCCCCAATGTCTGTTTTAGTGATAGTATAGTACAGACAAATCCGATTAAAAATCGCTTTTCTATTTGTTGCCTTTCAAGCAGATTGAAATTACATCCTTTTTAAGAATAATCAGTTTTTCCACGTGTCTCAACTCTCAATCGATTTCAATCATTTTTGGCAGATTCAAATGTTGTTTTTTTAAATAATTATAATCAAATAAGGCAATTAATTTGAAAAGCATTTTTTAAATGATAGTAATAATCTCTCACTACATAAAAATATTAATATGTTGTCTCTCATTAAATAACACAAAATTACTTCGTCGTGTATATTCAATCTATACAATATATATATTATGTAAAATAGATACCGTCGAATAATCATTTTTCACTTTCTCTGCTAGCACTACGTGTTGGAAATATGACTACTGAAGTATTTACAGGAGCATAATGGCATCTTGCTTTGGCAACTACAACTGCAAGCCTCCTTCTTTCTTCGAGAGGCTATTCCAGAAATCTTCCCCCGAACTCCAAACTCAGGACTTAAAGAAATGTCTGAACATTTTCGATTTGACAGTGCAGGGATTGGCTCATATTGTGGGCGCAGGAATATTCATTTTGACACCAGGAGTTATAAGGATGGTTGCTGGTCCAGGATTGGTAGTCTCTTATCTCTTAGCTGCAGCAGTTCTAATATTTACTGTTCTAGCTTACATGGATTTGGGAGCTAGATACAGAGGTATTGGGAACGCGTATGTGTACGTGTACGCTGCTTTGGGAGAATTTGCTGCAGGACTCGTAGGAACGTTCATTATGACAGAAATGGCATTGGCCGTAGGCTTGGTGGCCGTGGGATTCGGGCAGAATATGGACAAGTTTATCTGCGAGGGGAACGCTCATAAACTTCAAGTTGAGTATTCTAGCACTTTTCTTCCGGATTACTTAGCCGAAAATGTCAACTTGTTGGCTATTGCTTTGATGCTGTTTTGCTGTATCATCAACTGTATCGGAGTCAAACAGGTCGCTATCGTGAATACCCTCACAGTGGCATTTAGTTCCATCTCTCTGGCCATGTACTGCATCATTTCATTTGTGTATGGCAGTAGCAAGACATTCACCAACTCCACTGATCCTGAAACAGGAAGAGGAGGGGTGTTTCCTTATGGATTTTCAGGAGTTGTAACTGGAGCGGCTGTTGTGGTTACTTCCTTCACAGGTTTCGAATCGGTGGTCAGCCTTTCAGCGGAAGCCAAGAATTCTAAAAGAGACGTCCCTCTTGCAACAGGTTTAAGCTTCGGGATTTCTGTTCTAGTTTATCTATTAGTAAGTGCTGCTATCTCCTACCTGGTACCTTGGTATACCCTTAACGAAAGTACGGGGATTCCTGGCTCTTTGCAAGCGCACGGTCTCACAATCCCCAAGTTTATCATTGTAGCAGCGATCCTTTTTGCTTCTGGAAGTGTTGCTCTATGCTGCCTCACCACCCTAGCTCGAGGGCTCATGGTGCTCTCTGAGGATGGATTGATTTTCAGTTGCATTGGTTTGGTGGCCGAGTGCTCTAAGGTACCTTTTATTGCAACAGTCTTCGCTACAGTTGTGATAATTTTCTTTACGATAGTGTTCTCCTACGAGATCCTTATTCATCTGTGTGCAGGAGGAGCATTGATTACTTTTGTAGCAGTCTGCTTCACTCTCATAATTATTTCTTACTCTAAACAAAAGGAAGTTGTTGATGAATCCTCGGGACTTATTCAAAACGAAGTGATGACTGAAGAACAGCCTTCAACATCTTTGGATCAACAGGATAGTGAAATTCCCGGGGACATTGAAAATCAAGAGTGGAAAGTAATCAGTTGGATGACTATTTTCATATTTATTTCGACGATTTGCATCGCGTTTATTTACTGGCCAAGCTCATGGCCCTTCTGGAAAATTCGTCTCCCAATAATGATATTACTTGGGTTGATAAACACTCTAATACTGATCCACATTAAGATGATCTACCACATCCAGCCTCAGAAGAATCCTGGTTTTGTGTGTCCTGGAATACCGTTTATTCCAGCAATTGGTATATTTCTCAACCTGGCTTTGTTCAGTTCCCTTGATACAATGGCGCATCTGATGACTGGTGCTTACTTTGCTGTTGGGGTCTTGATGTATTTTGGGTATGGGTATTTTCACTCTACTATAACATTGAAGAAACAAAAAGAACTAGAACTAATTTGGAGTGATGAGACTGAGCAAGATTTAAGTTAATGATTAGATTCTGTTAAACCAATTTTCTGTACTTGAGAGATACTTCCTATTTTGTAAAGATAAAATGATGAAGTATGTTTCTGTAATTAATTTCTCTGTAGCTTCTCTATAGTTTTTAATTTCTCTGATATTTACCTCGGGCAGTTAAGTTGCGTATATTTTAACTACGACAGTAAATTCCAAAATATGGGTCAATGCTATTGATTGAGTTTTTGATATTATTGAACTGTTGCTTAGAAATCATTTCTCTCCTGTATAATAAAGTTGTTAACTAATTTTTCTGAAAATGTTATGTTCAAATTCACCGAAGTACTAAATTTAAAGTCCTGTTTATAAAATGTATCAAAAAATTAAAAAAAGAAGATTTACTTCTCAATCTCGAAATCTCAGTAATGCAAGTCACTTCAGTGACCGGTGACCAACCATCAAAAACCCATTTTATCTGACTCGCAAAAAATCACATCAAAGCACTTAATCGATGAGGATTAAATGATGGTGTATTCAAAGAATTTCAATTGATTGATTTATAACGGCCAGGTAGCGCAGTTGGTTAAAACGCCAGCTTTGCAATCGTGAGGTTGCGGGTTCAAATCCCACTGTCTCATGGCCCTTCTGGAAATTTCGTTTCCCAATAATGATAGCACTTGGGTTCATAAACACTCTAATACTGATCCACATTAAGATGACCTACCACATCCAGCTTCCGAATAATCCTGGTTTTGTATGTCCTGGAATACCGTTTATTCCAGCGATTGGTATATTTCTCAACCTGGCTTTGTTCAGCTCCCTTGATGCAATGGCACATCTGATGACTGGTGCCTCCTTTCTATACTTCCTATTTTGTAAAGATACAATGAATTATGATTCTGAAGTTAACTTCTCTGTAACTTCTCTATAGTTTATAATTTCTCTGATAATTTCCTCGGACAGTTAAGTTTTGTTTATTTTAACTGTGACAGTAAATTCCAAAATATGGGACAATGCTATTGATTAAGTTTTTGTCATTATTGAACTTTAACTTGAAAATTATTCCTAATTTGTAACATAAAGTTATTCATTATTTTTTCTGTACTAAATTTAAAGTCCTATTTGTACAATTTATCAAAAAATTTAAAAAAGAAGATTTACTTCTCAATCTCGAAATCTCAGTAATGCAAGTCCCTTCAGTGACCGCTTTAAAATTATTTCTATTTTGTAAAAGAGAGTTACTAATAATTCTTCGTCTGTGAATAATATTTTGTTCTTAAGTCCTGTTTATAAAATGTATCAACATTTTTAAATGGTTTACTTCTCAATCTCGAAATCGGTTTAATCTCTCGCCAAAATTCACTGTTTCATCTTGCAAAATACAAAATATTTCAATGGATGGGAAACTGCGCAGAAATGATTTATCTTCATTGATGAAGGGCGACCAATAGATCTTGAGATCCTGAAAAATTCATTTTTTCAAACGTTTCCCAACAACAAGATCACCTGCATTGGTCCTGAATCGCATAAATTATCCTCAAGCACTAAACTATCTGGAAGGGGATTGTTTAAAACATAAAAGTGATACGAAAAGTTTGTTTATCAGGAGCTTTCAAAATACATGTGTAAACCGTCTTCAGCTAAATTGAACAGACTAAATTAAACAGACTAAATTATCTGTTTAGGCACTATACTACTTGCTATACTAGGTAGACAGCCAACCTAGACCTTGTTCAAAATTAAAATCTTTTCGACTTTTCAGATTATTCGGTATACAAAAGTCTCCGTCATACAATATATTATACAGTACATTGAATAAATATACTTTAGTTCTTCCTGTTTTCTAGAGTTTTAAGGTATTAATCATCGATGATTTGAGATGCCAACACTGCACTTTACTTTGCTCACTCATTTTAATATAAATTGGAATTTTTAAATTTTCAATTCGTGTTATGATTAAAATGTAATATACTACATTAACAAGTACAACCCGAACTAAAAAAAATCGCCTTAGTGGAATTACCTTTCATTTTGTTGAACAGGGCAAATTATTTTCCCTCATATCGTTTCTAAGAGCGATGAGGATCAAGGTCTTTTCTTTTTTCTTTTCAGTCAAGGTCTTACTAACCGGAACCACCAGGTCTAAAGAATGCCATCTTACACCGACTACTACAACTGTAAACCGCCTCCCTTGCTCGAACGGCTATTCCAGAAGTCTTCCCCCGAACACCAGGACCAAGACCTGAAGAAATGTCTGAATATATTCGACCTGACAGTTCAGGGTGTGGCCCACATTGCTGGCACAAGTATCTTTATCCTGACTCCAGAGGTTGTAAAGCTGATAGCTGGACCAGGGACGGTGGTATCGTATCTGATATCTGCTTTTGTTCTGTTTTTCACTGTTCTAGCTTACATGGATTTGGGAGCTAGATACAGAGGTATTGGGAACGCGTATGTGTACGTGTACTCTGCTTTGGGAGAATTTGCTGCAGGACTTGTAGGAACGTTCATGATGACAGAGATTGCATTGACCTTGGCTCTGTATTCAGTAGGCTTTGGACAGAACTTGGATAGATATGTGATGGGGGGATACGCTCATGGCCTGCAAGTCAAGTATGCTGGAACCTTTCTCCCGGATTACTTAGCCGAGAATGTCAACTTGATGGCTATAGCTCTGATTGTAGTGTGTTGTGTTATTAACTGTATCGGAGTTAAACAGGTGGCTATAACCAATATTATTTCAATATCCTACGTTATCCTGGCTGACATTATGTACTGTATACTATCTCTGATATACGGAAGTAACAACACATTCGCCCACTCCACGGATCCTGATACTGGGAGGGGAGGAGTATTTCCTTATGGAGCTGCTGGTGTGGTTGCCGGGGCAGCGATCACTGTGGTTGCCTTCAATGGATTCGAAACAACAGTGTCTCTCTCAGCCGAGGCTAAGAACTCTAAAAGGGACGTCCCTCTGGCTGTGGCCCTGAGTTTCGCCATTTCCACCACGATATACGTATCAGTAACGCTAGCTATCGTCTACTTGGTACCATGGTACAGCCTAGATGAGAGCACTGGGATGCCAGCTTCGCTAGATGCTCACGGTTTAACCGTACCCAAATACATTCTGATCGGGGCTATCATGTTAGCAGGTTTCAGTATTGCTCTGTGCTCTCTCACTACCATAGCTCGAGGACTGATGGTGTTCTCTAACGATGGGTTAATTCTGAGTTGTCTCAGTTTAGTGGCGGACTGCTCTCAAGTGCCTGTAGTGGCCACCGTCACTGCTTCAGCTATAACCATTGTCTTCACCATCGTCTTCTCTTTCAAGCTACTTATACACATGGTATCAGGAGGAGCATTGTTGACTTTCTCAGCTGTGTGCTACACCCTTATCGTTATTTCTTACTCCAAACAAAAGGAAGTTGTTGATGAGTCCTCGGGTCTTGTTCAAAACGAAGTGGATAACCGATCATTCACCACGTCTGAGGCTCAAGTGACTCCAGGGTACGTTCACAATCAAGAGTGGAAGATAGTGGGATGGATGGCTTCTTTTTGTACCATCGTTACACTTTGCATCGTACTTATTTATGGGCCTAAATCCTGGTCTTTCTGGAAGGTTCGTCTGCCTATAATGATGGCACTGGGGTTTTTAAACATACTGATACTGAGCTACATCAAGCTGATTTATCATATTCAGCCCCAGAGGGACCCTGGTTTTGTTTGCCCCGGAATACCATTTGTCCCAGCTACAGGGATAACACTGAACCTTGCCCTGTTCAGCGCTTTAGATTCAGCAGCCCATCTGATGACTATTGCTTACATTATAATTGGGATCTTCATCTATTTTGGGTATGGGTATTTTCACTCCACGATAACATTGAGTAAGAGAAAGGAACTGGAGTTAGCATCTGTCTCCGAACAGGATGAACATGATCAATGAAGTTTAATCCTATGAGAACTAGTAACGATTTTCCAGGAGATTTGTTTACAATACAATGATACACCTTCATGTTGTACGTATAATCGCCGAGTAAACACAAAAGGTTTACAATCTTAGTCATCACTGAGAGAGGACTGGGACTATAGGGCGGGAGACTCTAGGGCGTGGAGAGATTTTTTAAACAGGGTTAGGTCTCTAGGGCGGTGGCAAAAAATCACAGAGTTGTTTTTAGTCAATTTTCTTTAAAATAACTAGCACCTATATGCTTATATGCTAATAGGACTATATATAAAGCGAGACGATATATATTATATATGGATGGGTGGATCCGTACCATTTTACTGACACCACGGCATCAACTTTAACGTGACTTTCCACAAAAACCGTAAAATATATACAACCGAAACCTTTTTGACTGGGTCAAATGCTTTAATGGCCTCCAAATCAGCATGAAAAAATAAAAATTGGCCAAGAAATAGGAGTTTAAAGCCAAAAATTTGGACCCCCGAGTGGTGTCAAAAACGCGAATTAAATAGGTAATAATTATTTTAGTCTCTTGAGTCTTGACACCATTTTAGGGTTATACGGATTCCTGCTCGAAAACTTAATAAAACAAAAATATTAACGTATAAAGTATTATACTAACTTCTAATAACATTAATATAGATTTTGTAATATTCCCTGATTATTGATAATAGTTACTTAACTTTATAGAACCATACAGTTTTGATTTATACTTTGTCACATATCCCCCCAATGTACAATGTAATAGTAAAACAACTAGGATTTATTAAACCATTTAAGTCAGCATTGCGCTAATTGATATTTGATTTGAACCAGAAACTTCGTCCCCATCATAACATATCACATTAATTTTGATAAACGCCCCATGGTCGCTGAACTGGCAGGAAATATGAGAGGGGAAGGAAATGTTGTAGAGTATAAGGTAGGTGGGTCAGTGGGAGCAGGTGTGAAAACAGACTCACCAGGTGAGAAGGTGAGAGGAGCTGCAGGGCGAGGCTTGTGAGATTCTGGTAGGTGACTGGAGAAGGAACTGGGAGGTAAGCTGGAACTGGAAAGAAAGGGGTCATCGAAGTACAGAGGCTTTACAAATGTGTGAGGCTTCACGAAAGGTAGAGGCTTAACAAAAATGGGTCCTCGAACACTATCTTTTTGAAAGAAAGTCGAAGCCTGACCGCTTTCATGAAAAAAACTTGAGTTATTCCGCTGATACAGTTTTTCGCCAGTATGAGTCATCTGATGGCTAACTATGAGTGAATTTTTGATTGAACTGTATGAACATTCTGAGCATTTATACGGTTTTTCACCGGTATGAGTCATCCGATGGTTAACTAGGTCTGATTTTTGGCTTGAACTGTAGGAAAATTCGGTGCATTTATATGGTTTTTCACCGGTCTGAGTCATCTGATGTCGAACCAGGGTTGATTTCCAGCCAGTACTAAAGGAACATTCAGAGCATTTATATGGTTTTTCACCTGTATGAGTCATCTGATGGTTAAGCAAGTTTGATTTTTGGCTTGAACTGTAGGAACATTCAGAGCATTTATACGGTTTTCACCGGTATGAGTCATCTGATGTTGAATCAGGGTTGATTTCAAGCCAGTACTAAAGGAACATTCAGAGCATTTATACGGTTTTTCACCGGTATGAGTCTTCTGATGGCGAACTAAGTTTCCTTTTACGCTTGCACTGTAGGAACATTCAGAGCATTTATACGGTTTTTCACCGTTATGAGTCATCTGATGATTAAGCAGGTTTGATTTTTGGCTTGAACTGAAGTAACATTTGGAGCATTTATACGGTTTTTCACCGGTATGAGTCCTCTGATGGTTAAGCAGGTTTGATTTTTGGCTTTAACTGTAGGAACATTCAGAGCATTTGTGTGGTTTTTCACCGGTATGAGTCATCTTATGGTTAAGCAGGTTTGTTTTTTGATTTGAACTGTAGGAACATTCAGAGCATTTATACGGTTTTTCACCGGTATGAGTCCTCTGATGTTTACTTAGGTTTGATTTTCGGCTTGAACTGTAGGAACATTCAGAGCATTTATACGGTTTTTGATTTTCACCGGTATGAGTCCGCTGATGCCAAACCAGTGTCGATTTTAGGCTTGAACTGTAGGAACAATCGGAGCATTTATACGGTTTTTCACCGGTATGAGTTTGCTGATGTGAAACTAAAGCTGTTTTTTGGTTTGCATTGTAGGAAAATTCGGAGCGAATGTAAGCATTTTCACTGGTATTAACCCACTGGTGGCAAGCTATTGCTGACTCCTGGTTGGGACAATCCAACTGAGAAACTGCATTTGAATACACTTCTGATTTAATAAGAAAATTATTTTCCTCCTTCTTAATCTCTGTCTTGATCAATTCTGGTGGAAAACTTTCTTCTTCCATCTTCATTTCATTTTTAACGTCTGGAACATTTTTCTGCTCCATTTCACTAATAAGTCAAGGACTGTACAAAACTAAATGTCAGTGTTTATTTGAAGAGCTTTTCGCTTTGTTTACATCTGACATCAGGCAGAAACAAGCTTATAAAAAGTGATGGTAGTAACCCAGAAAATAGAAAACAAACGAATGTGGTTACCAAATTTGAAACAGGTTAACAAGGTATTCGGATAATGCTGATACTTATAAAGCTACATAAAGCTATTAAACTACGAAACTTAATGTTCTAAACATTTACTAGAAGTGATCTCCAAACTAAAGCTTCAGTACAACTGTTAGTTTGAGCTTCGCACCATAGGTTTTAAATAACAGCAGTTCACTGTTCAGATGTTATATGAGCTAGCCTCTATGTGGTCCACAGGGCGGAGGAACAATACTGTGTGTGTATAATAAGTGTATAACTGCAAATTACATTGTCTAAAGCCAAATGTTTAACTTAAAAGTCTAAATTTCAATGAGGTTCAGGAATAGCGATCCAGCTTGAGGAGTAATTGATTTTCCAAGTTTCGCCCTCTTTTGTTCTTTTTCATTTATTGATATAAGTATAATTTGCCATCTGATAAAATGCATTACTAATGAAATTACTTGACAGTACATTTTTGTTGGAGGAAAAAATTGTTCTATATACTTTCTTTCGCATGTTTTTGATGTTACGTCATAAAAAACTTTTGACCCTAAATATACAGTCATTATCACAATACACTGATGATGCAATACGGATTACGATAAATCATTCTACACTAGAATGACTATTGCTTACATTATAATTGGGATCTTCATCTATTTTGGGTATGGGTATTTTCACTCCGCGATAACATTGAGTAAGAGAAAGGAACTGGAGTTAGCATCTGTCTCCGAACAGGATGAACCTGATCAATGAAGTTTAATCCTATGAGAACTAGTAACGATTTTCCAGGAGATTTGTTTACAATACAATGATACACCTTCATGTTGTACGTATAATCGCCGAGTAAACACAAAAGGTTTACAATCTTAGTCATCACTGAGAGAGGACTGGGACTATAGGGCGGGAGACTCTAGGGCGTGGAGAGATTTTTTAAACAGGGTTAGGTCTCTAGGGCGGTGGCAAAAAATCACAGAGTTGTTTTTAGTCAATTTTCTTTAAAATAACTAGCACCTATATGCTTATATGCTAATAGGACTATATATAAAGCGAGACGATATATATGGATGGGTGGATCCGTACCATTTTACTGACACCACGGCATCAACTTTAACGTGACTTTCCACAAAAACCGTAAAATATATACAACCGAAACCTTTTTGACTGGGTCTTGACACCATTTTAGGGTTATACGGATTCCTGCTCGAAAACTTAATAAAACAAAAATATTAACGTATAAAGTATTATACTAACTTCTAATAACATTAATATAGATTTTGTAATATTCCCTGATTATTGATAATAGTTACTTAACTTTATAGAACCATACAGTTTTGATTTATACTTTGTCACATATCCCCCCAATGTACAATGTAATAGTAAAACAACTAGGATTTATTAAACCATTTAAGTCAGCATTGCGCTAATTGATATTTGATTTGAACCAGAAACTTCGTCCCCATCATAACATATCACATAAATTTTGATAAACGCCCCATGGTCGCTGAACTGGCAGGAAATATGAGAGGGGAAGGAAATGTTGTAGAGTATAAGGTAGGTGGGACAGTGGGAGCAGGTGTGAAAACAGACTCACCAGGTGAGAAGGTGAGAGGAGCTGCAGGGCGAGGCTTGTGAGATTCTGGTAGGTGACTGGAGAAGGAACTGGGAGGTAAGCTGGAACTGGAAAGAAAGGGGTCATCGAAGTACAGAGGCTTTACAAATGTGAGAGGCTTCACGAAAGATAGAGGCTTAACAAAAATAGGTCCTCGAACACTATCTTTTTGAAAGAAAGTCGAAGCCTGACCACTTTCATGAAAAAAACTTGAGTTATTCCGCTGATACAGTTTTTCGCCAGTATGAGTCATCTGATGGCTAACTATGAGTGAATTTTTGATTGAACTGTATGAACATTCAGAGCATTTATACGGTTTTTCACCGGTATGAGTCATCCGATGGTTAACTAGGTCTGATTTTTGGCTTGAACTGTAGGAACATTCGGTGCATTTATATGGTTTTTCACCGGTATGAGTCATCTGATGTTTACTTAGGTCTGATTTTCGGATTGAACTGTAGGAACATTCGGAGCATTTATACGGTTTTTCACCGGTATGAGTCATCTGATGGCGAACTAAGAGTGAATTTTTGATTGAACTGTAGGAACATTCAGAGCATTTATACGGTTTTTCACCGGTCTGAGTCATCTGATGTCGAACCAGGGTTGATTTCCAGCCAGTACTAAAGGAACATTCAGAGCATTTATATGGTTTTTCACCGGTATGAGTCATCTGATGGTTAAGCAAGTTTGATTTTCGGCCTGAACTGTAGGAACATTCAGAGCATTTATACGGTTTTTCACCGGTATGAGTCATCTGATGTCGAATCAGGGTTGATTTCAAGCCAGTACTAAAGGAACATTCAGAGCATTTATACGGTTTTTCACCGGTATGAGTCATCTGATGGCGAACTAAGAGTGAATTTTTGATTGAACTGTAGGAACATTCAGAGCATTTATACGGTTTTTCACCAGTATGAGTCATCTGATGTCGAACCAGGGTTGATTTCCAGCCAGTACTAAAGGAACATTCAGAGCATTTATATGGTTTTTCACCGGTATGAGTCATCTGATGGTTAAGCAAGTTTGATTTTCGGCTTGAACTGTAGGAACATTCAGAGTATTTATACGGTTTTTCACCGGTATGAGTCATCTGATGTCGAATCAGGGTTGATTTCAAGCCAGTACTAAAGGAACATTCAGAGCATTTATACGGTTTTTCACCGGTATGAGTCTTCTGATGGCGAACTAAGTTTCCTTTTACGCTTGCACTGTAGGAACATTCAGAGCATTTATACGGTTTTTCACCGTTATGAGTCATCTGATGGTTAAGCAGGTTTGGTTTTAGGCTTGAACTGTAGGAACATTCAGAGCATTTGTGTGGTTTTTCACCGGTATGAGTCATCTTATGGTAAAGCAGGTTTGATTTTTGATTTGAACTGTAGGAACATTCAGAGCATTTATACGGTTTTTCACCGGTATGAGTCCTCTGATGTCGAATCAGGTTTGATTTCCAGCCAGTACTAAAGGAACATTCATAGCATTTATACGGTTTTTCACCGGTATGACTCATCTGATGTTTACTTAGGTTTGATTTTCGGCTTGAACTGTAGGAACATTCAGAGCATTTATACGGTTTTTGATTTTCACCGGTATGAGTCCGCTGATGCCAAACCAGTGTTGATTTTAGGCTTGAACTGTAGGAACATTCGGAGCATTTATACGGTTTTTCACCGGTATGAGTTTGCTGATGTGAAACTAAAGCTGTTTTTTGGTTTGCATTGTAGGAAAATTCGGAGCGAATGTAAGCATTTTCACTGGTATTAACCCACTGGTGGCAAGCTATTGCTGACTCCTGGTTGGGACAATCCAACTGAGAAACTGCATTTGAATACACTTCTGATTTAATAAGAAAATTATCTTCCTCCTTCTTAATCTCTGTCATGATCAATTCTGGTGGAAAACTTTCTTCTTCCATCTTCATTTCATTTTTAACGTCTGGAACATTTTTCTGCTCCATTTCACTAATAAGTCAAGGACTGTACCAAACTAAATGTCAGTGCTTATTTGAAGAGCTTTTCGCTTTGTTTACATCTGACATCAGGCAGAAACAAGCTTATAAAAAGTGATGGTAGTAACCCAGAAAATAGAAAACAAACGAATGTGGTTAACAAATTTGAAACAGGTTAACAAGGTATTCGGATAATGCTGATACTTATAAAGCTACATAAAGCTATTAAACTACGAAACGTAATGTTCTAAACATTTACTAGAAGTGATCTCCAAACTAAAGCTTCAGTACAACTGTTAGTTTGAGCTTCGCACCATAGGTTTTAAATAACAACAGTTCACTGTTCAGATGTTATATGAGCTAGCCTCTATGTGGTCCACAGGGCGGAGGAACAATACTGTGTGTGTATAATAAGTGTATAACTGCAAATTACATTGTCTAAAGCCAAATGTTTAACTTAAAAGCCTAAATTTCAATGAGGTTCAGGAATAGCGATCCAGCTTGAGGAGTAATTGATTTTCCAAGTTTCGCCCTCTTTTGTTCTTTTTCAAGTATTGATATAAGTATAATTTGCCATCTGATAAAATGCATTACTAATGAAATTACTTGACAGTACATTTTTGTTGGAGGAAAAAATTGTTCTATATACTTTCTTTCGCATGTTTTTGATGTTACGTCATAAAAAACTTTTGACCCTAAATATACAGTAGTTATCACAATACAATGACGATGCAATACGGATTACGATAAATCATTCTACACTAGAATGACTATTGCTTACATTATAATTGGGATCTTCATCTATTTTGGGTATGGGTATTTTCACTCCACGATAACATTGAGTAAGAGAAAGGAACTGGAGTTAGCATCTGTCTCCGAACAGGATGAACCTGATCAATGAAGTTTAATCCTATGAGAACTAGTAACGATTTTCCAGGAGATTTGTTTACAATACAATGAAACACCTTCATGTTGTACGTATAATCGCCGAGTAAACACAAAAGGTTTACAATCTTAGTCATCACTGAGAGAGGACTGGGACTATAGGGCGGGAGACTCTAGGGCGTGGGGAGATTTTTTTAACAGGGTCAGGTCTTTAGGGCGGTGACAAAAAATCACAGAGTTGTTTTTAATCAATTTTCTTTAAAATGACTAGCACATATATCAATATGGGACCCGTCCGATGTTGGATGTCCCTGTTTGCAAGGCTTGTTCTAACGATCAGTTCTTCCATTGGTTTCTGATACTTGCTTTTACTTGCTAGGCTAATTATGCTAAGGTCACTATGAGTTATGACCATCTCATCGTTATGACCATCTGCTCTGCCGAAGCCCGAAGGTGCTTGGCTTAAACAGCTGTACAATATCGCCATTCGATTCTCCCACATCCTCTAAAATTACACAAATTTATATCGATAGATATGGATTTTATGATATGATTTAAAAAGGTACAGTAAGTAAAAGTCTCCGCCCAAAATTGTTTATGTACAGGGTGTTTCAAAAGTCTGGTAGAATGTGGTGCGCTCTAAAATGTACATTAGTGGGCTAGTGTCTGTTTTCCAAATATTAGCACTTTTGCAGGCTAGACACTCTTTTGTCTTTAGAAATTGAAGAAATATCACGGTGATATTATATTTTTAGTTAGTCTTTGTTCGTAATGAGATTTAATTTGTTATAAAATATTGTACACCTTTATCACATGTTAGCTGTACATTGTACAATATACATACAATGTACAATGTACATTTTACTAACAAGTTGAAAACCTGAACACATTTTTAAAACTCACGCTTTGCATTCCTCTGTTTTTTAACGATAAACACATCTTTTGATAAGGCTAAATTCCACCTTTGTTCTGGAACAATTCATACTACACTCAGTTTCTTTTGATAGACCTCAGCTGTTTCCCACTCTATATAACTATATTACGGTAAACTATATTACGCAGTTTTAACGTTTCATCTCAAATCTACTGCTCATGTACATTGTACAATAGCGCTCGGAAATTCGGACAAGGATGACGTGTCATCATGACGTCATCATGACGTGTCCAGATACAGGGTCCGCAGATAGAAGTGGACCCTGAGTACGTACAAAATCACATCCTCCCTTTTCTGTGTATTCGTATTCTCGGTAGAAATCTCTACATAGTCTGTGATCTCAACTTCCAATTTCATCTGGAAAATCTAAGCCCGTTATTTCTTGCTCTTTAAAGTGTGTAACGCCCTCGCGAGAATAAAGATGCTATTCAGCTGCATGGTCCAGTATCTTTTTACTGCTGGTTTTCCTATCATGTTACCATTCACTCTTGTAGTGTAGTATCGAACGCTTCTGGACCGCTGTGACCGCTGCAACATTGCCTTCAAGCTGTATATATTTTATTAACGTTAGTACCACTATAGTACGTTAATTGACAACATCTGTTATATTTGTAAGAAAATCAGTTGAACGCTAATATCCTTCAAGCACTTTACACTTCGTTAGTGTTCTCCTTTGTTCATTTCATGTTTAATTCCTGTTTAATTCTACTATTTTTGATAAAGTCAATGCACTGAATATACACACGAGTATTGAACGAATCAGGACAGGCCGTGTATTCCATGAGGACCGTCACGAATTTCACGGTATACATTTTCGTACTTTCCTTACTACATACGTTATTATTTCCTCTCGCTCTTTTCTGTACTATAGACTATATAATATGTAATATCCGGGAATATTGTTTATTAGTCGCATTGTTCATTGTTGTGATGTTTAGAGTTCAACATTTTCTTTTACTGGTGGATTCGTGTAGTGTTGTTGAATCTCATGATTTGATAGTTCTTTCATTCAAATTTCTGATTGTTTCTGAATAGACTCAGTGAAGACAGATTCTAATTTTCTTTTACCTGAAACAGCAGCTTTTTCCTTTGTCGCATGTACGGAATTAACAGAAATTTTGAACTCTTAACGTAGACTATAAATTATTACAAATTATTTTAGTATAATATAGTTATTAGTTTGTACTCCGCAAGCTATCACGGTGGGGCTGTAGTATAATTTACGGTTTGCTGAATATGTCACCATCACACTCGACTTCTTATACTTCTTGGAGAGATAACCAATGTCCTTGATTAACAGCCATCGGATGATGATAGGAATTTGGGCATCAGTATTTTTGCGTTGAAATAATGAGTGTATCAGGAATTTTGCGTAATGACAATTCGTAAATTAGCGTCTGATAATCCAACGTCAACAGGTCTTTGTGAGTGAATTATAGAATTTTGTGACCGCTTCATTCCATGTTTCACCATTACAGTTAAGGTATAATATTATTGGACAATGCTTGTGTCTATTAGTATTAGAGTGTCAGTAAGTCTTTGTTTTTTAATAACAAAGCCGGGTCAACAGTATATAAAATTTAATATCTGCACGTCTTTATTGAGCAGTTGTTCTCTATTTCCCCATTGCTTTATTTCCAATCTCTCAATTATTACACGTATACACGTACAAATGTACTCGCCGCAACTCTCCGAGCGTCATTTAGAAGTTTCCTCTTTGGTCTGGGTCATTGATGTATTGGCTATCTCTCACCTTTTATCTTTTTAAGGTTTCTTGGATACCTAACATTGATGTATTGGCTATCTCTCACCTTTTATCGTTTTGACTTTGAGGTTTCTTAATTACCTAACATTGATGTATTGGCTATCTCTCACCTTTTATCGTTTTAAGGTTTCTTGAATACCTAATATTGTCTTAAAATAAAGTTCCGTATTTCTATGAGCTTTATTGACGACGGGTGCTTCTACAGGTTGTTTCACAATCCTTGAAATTTGTAGATTATTTCATTGTGTAACCCATTCTTTCCTAGCCATGCTTACACTTCATCACAAGCATCGACTTTAATGCTCTGGAGGACTGTGAATCACAAGGACTAACACAAAACAGGGACATACCAAGATCCACCATGTCATCATGCAATGAAAACTACAACTGCAGACCACCTCCCTTCCTCGAGCGGATATTCCAAAAGTCAACCCCTGAAGATCAACCCCAGGACCTGAAGAAATGTCTGAACCTCTTCGACCTGACGGTTCAGGGGCTAGCGCACATAATCGGGACTGGCATCTTCATCATGACACCGGGTATAATAAAGATGATAGCTGGGCCTGGTATGGTGGTATCCTATCTCATAGCGGCAGCAGTCCTGGTTTTCACCGTCCTCTCTTACATGGACCTTGGAGCTAGGTTCAAAGGTATTGGGAACGCGTATGTGTACGTATACGCTGCTTTGGGAGAGTTCGCTGCTGGACTTATTGGCATCTTCATACTCACCGAGCTTGCCCTGGGTCTTGCCCTGGTGTCCGTTGGGTTTGGTCAGAATGTAGAAATGTTTTTCCTGAATGGTCACGGTCGTAACCTCCACATCGAGTACTCGGGCTCGCATCTTATAAAATATTTCGCCCAGAACGTCAACATCATGGCAATCCTCCTGATCGTTATCTGCTGCTGTATAAACTGTGCAGGCATCAAGAAGGTAGTGTTCACTAACATTTTCACAGTGTCCTACAGCATCTTAGCTCTGACCATGTACTGCATACTATCTCTGATATACGGAAGTAACAGCACATTCGCCCACTCCACGGATCCTGATACTGGGAGAGGAGGAGTATTTCCTTATGGAGCTGCTGGTGTGATTACTGGAGCAGCAGTCACAGTGGTCTCTTACGGTGGGTTTGAAACAGTTGTGAGTCTCTCAGCGGAAGCTAACAACTCTAAACGAGACGTTCCCCTGGCGATCGGACTGAGTTTTGGGTTAACAACTGTGATCTACGTGTCTGTTACCTTGGCTATCGTGTATCTTGCTCCTTGGTATAGCTTAGATGAAGGTACTGGCATACCGGGATCTTTAGAAGCGCACGATCTAACCATTCCAAAGCACATCATCATTGGAGCTATCATGATGGCGTCCGCTAGTCTTGTCTTGTGCACACTCACCACACTGGCACGAGGACTCATGGTCCTCTCTGAAGATGGGCTCATATTCAAATGTCTGAGTTGTGTGGCAGAGTGTACTAAAGTACCGATTGCTGCTACAGTCACCGCGGCAGGTATAACTATTGTCTTCACACTTGCCTTCTCCTACGAGATCTTGATTCATCTGGTATCCGGTGGAGCCTTGCTAACGTTCGCTGCCGTGTGCTACTGCCTCATCGTTATTTCCTACACCAGAACCACGAAACCTGTGACCGAATCTTCGAGGCTCATCGAAAATGAAGTGCTGCCAAGCGAAGCAGAGTCAACAACATCATCACTAGATCTTGAGGAGACAGCAGGTTATATTCAACATCAGGAATGGAAGGTCGTGTTCTGGATGGCATCTTTCTGGAAACTTCTAGCGGTCGCTATAATCCTATTTTACTGGCCCACTGGTTGGGACTTCTGGCATGTTCGTGTGCCACTGATGGTACTCTTGGGGTTGATTAACATATCTATACTGTCGTACATCAAGTTTAACTACTACATCCAGCCTCAGACAGATCCTGGCTTTGTGTGTCCAGGAATACCGTTTGTGCCGGCCATGGGCATAACTCTGAATCTGGCCTTGTTCAGTGCGCTTGATTTATTAGCCCATTTGATGACTGTGGCATATTTTGCTGTTGGATTTGTGATTTATTTTGGGTACGGGTATTTTCATTCAAGGATCACATTGAGGAAGCAGAAAGAGATGGAGATAAATTTTAATAATGAAACTCAAGAAATGAGAATGGAATAGTCTTAAATTTTAATGCTAAATTAGATTTTAATATTAGAAATTTGTAGTACTCAATAGCGTAAAAATAATCCGATATCATTCCTTCACTCGAGTATTTCCGTGTTACAACAAATCTCTGTCAAGAATATTTATTGGTGAAAATAGCGAAAATTATTGTGAACGGTTTGTATCAAGAAAAGTACGGCTATTTGCCTTTAATAAGTAGTACTATTTTCGATATCCCTCTTTTTACAATATCATACATAATACAATCAACAATAATAATTACTTAATATAATATAGTTATGCTGGATTTTGTGATTAAACATGGTTTCTTTTATGTTGATTTTCTGTTTTTGCATCTAAATTAATGTTTTGTAGCTTATACTTTGTTGCTTTCCTGAAGTGCGTCTATAATTCGATTCATTTGTTCTGTAATATGTTATAATTATTTCCGGGAATTATATCCCCGAAAAGTCGTGAACACTGAGCACTGATAATATATCTCGAGACTGCCATTCGCCTTGATGAGCAGTGCCAGAAGTTAATGAAAATAAATAACCGTAGCAATGAACAGCCAAGGTATTATTGTATTATAAACTACAAACTCCCTCACTCGTCGTGAAAAATTATTTAGTGGACATGAAGTTCTCTTCGACGTTCTGATCCGACAAAAAACCGCCCAGCTGATTACTTTCTGTGAATCTTCTCGGTCCGAGCTCAGTACTGATTTTACTGTATCCTCAACTGATCTAATCACTGCAGTGTTCATATCAACATGTTGAAAATGTTGAATATGCTGAATATGTTGCTGGTCTTTTGCAGCGGTCAGTTCTCCCTGTAAATACGTAACAATTCCCTCAGTAACTTCAATTTTAGATCTGAGTTTCTGATTCTGCCTCTCCAGCTGAATTATATACTGGCCCTGCCAGTTTACAATGTTCAACACGTTACTCAGTTTCTCAGCTAGGATATCCTTGGTGGTCTCCCGGCCCGTTGAAGAAGACGCGGTGACTCCCTGAACAAACTGAGTTTTAACCATCTGGAGAATCGACTTCACCCTCTCAGTTTCATCTTCATCCTTACCGGTACCCTCAATCATCAAAACAGTGGTCAAGTCCATAGTTCTTTATAGTCTCGAGTCTAGTCAGAAAAACTCAGAAACATTCGTGAAAGTATCACCAAATGAGACACAATAACGCTGCACATCACATGTCCATAGTGTACACGATCAATAGTAGCTGCAGTACTACAGTAGATGAAGAATAGTCCTGCCCAACGAGTTGATACCTATCAAAGATAAGCCGACACTTATACAAGATCTGTAACAACGTATATAAAAGTTGAAATTTACGATGTGTGGCTAGTGGCTACCAAGTACCTACTATGCTGTGAGGTAAATCGAGAAATGATGGAGGCTAACTACCCCGGGGACTTTTATCTGTTTTTTGCTGTATGTTAATATAACATGCTGCTCGGTAATGGGTTAATTACTGATTTACTTGACTTAAGGCGGCTTCAGCCTCCGATTATTGATGCGCTGTCTCCATAGAACTCTACTAATGATGTTATAAAGATTTTGTTGGAACTTTTTAACTCATTCGTTGTCTGACTGTGGGAACTATTGATTTTTGATCTTCCATAGAACTCTATCCGCCATAAGTCCGCCCATTTCTCCAGTGTCGGCTATCAACATAAGTCATGGCTGGTCTTCCCCTACTCCTCACCTCATGAGTTGGTTCCCAAAGTAGCAAGCGGTTTGCGAATAGTTCTGGGTGCCAGTGGATATGGCCTGCTAGTCGCATCCTGCGCTCTTGGATCTTCATGGTTGCTATCGGTAGGTTGCCATAGACTTCTTTGTTGGTTTTGCGCTGCTTCCAGTCCACATTTAGTGCCATCCTTAGCATTCTAGTGTAATAGCCATCAATGCGTTTCTTCAATTGCTCTGTCCACGTCCACGTTTCAGAACCATAATATAGAAGTATTGACTCCACAGTAGCAACAAATAGACGGATCTTTAGTCCTCTTCTAAGGTCAGACTTGCACATCTTCTTTAGCGTGTTGCAGGCTGCCCAAACCTTAGCTTTTCTGACCCACAGGTCCCTCTCTGTTGTTGCTATCCATGCTCCAATGTATACAAAGTCTGTCACCTTTTCCAGCTGGTTTCCAGAACAGCTATCAAGACTACTCGCCTCCTCTGTCATGTTCAGTCACTTCAGAGTCATGAATTTAGTTTTAATGTCGTTCATGGCTAGCCCCACACTCAGTGCTGCGTTAATTAGATAATTAGGTATTGAACAGCAGCACTAACCAGACTAGTTCAACGGCTCAGAAAGTGACATGACTCCTGTTGATCACTAGTAGAAATTAGTAAAGCTATTAATAATTAGCAAAACAACCTGCCTTCGGTAACTGTTGGTAGGGAGCATCACGGCTCTCTGCATTTGTAGTTAAAAAGGCACCATCCAGATACAATTTTGTTCTAATGTGACCGCGAGATTATTCCCTGCGTTATTAACTATTTAAAACAGCTGGAGGCTGACCAGATCTGATGAGCGGTCCAAAGTACGAACTGCAGCAGCAGGGCGCTTGCGTTGAACAAATAAACACTACGCCTATTATGTAATTTCACAAGAAACTGCTTAGTTACGTTATATTAGAACATTGCGTGTCTCAACATAAACTATACATATCACAGTATCCACTTGATGATGTGAAAATTATACAATAAAATCGTATTAAAAAGATAACTATTATAATGATAACATGTTATCATTATAATAGTTATCTTTTTAATACGTTATAACAGATAAGACTGAAATATCCTTATAATGTAATAAATGCATCTAAAAACACTTCAATACGAGTACCTACCTCGATAAGAATTCGAATGAGCACTACAGTAACGCCCCCTCTAGTAACCAAAGTAACGCCCCCTCTAGCAACCAAAGTAACACCCCCTCCCCCCCCCCCCCCCCCCCTTTAGTAACCAAAGTAACTTCCCCTCTAGTAACCAAAGTACCCCGCCCCAACCCCATCCCCCCCCCCGGCTCCCTCTGTAACCAAAGTAACACCCCCCTCTCTTCAGACCAACTACCGGACATGTTGTTAATGCAGTCTCTAGTGCAGCTACTGCCCCTCTAGTAACCAAAGTGCCCCCCCCCCTCCCCCCCCCCCCCCCTCCCCCCCCCCCCCCCCCTAGTACCCAAAGTAACAACCCTCTCTCTTCAGACCAACTACCGGACGTGTTGTTAATGCAGTCTCTAGTGCAGCTACTACCCCGGTTTGGTCTCACTACTCGCCTGCACGTGGTACAGGAGCTACTGGTACTCACTAGAACTAACCTAAAGTTGGGGGAACAGTACAGTTTACTACCTTCCTGGTACAACGCCGTACTCTGTCTTATGCTCGGTTAGTCACGCTATGTCACGTGGTTAGTCACGTTATGTCACGTGGTTAGTCACGTTATGTCACGTGGTTAGTCACGTTATGTCACGCTATGTCACGTGGTTAGTCACGTTATGTCACGTGGTTAGTCACGTTATGTCACGTGGTTAGTCACGCTATGTCACGTGGTAAGTCACGTTATGTCACGTGGTTAGTCACGCTATGTCACGTGGTTAGTCACGTTATGTCACGTGGTTAGTCACGTTCTGTCACGTGGTTAGTCACGTTATGTCACGTGGTTAGTCACGTTATGTCACGTGGTTAGTCACGTTATGTCACGTGGTTTAGTTAGTTACGTTATGTCACGTGGTAAGTCACGTTATGTCACGCGGTTAGTCACGTTATGTCACGTGGTTCAGTTAGTGTAGACAATAGACATGACTCTCTTTGGTGAACATTTTTTATAAGTTGGCTAATTTCTTACCAATTTAATACCAGGTGTTTTGAAAGTTTAAACATGACTCTATTGGGTGTTTTGAAAATGTCTTATAAGTTGGCTAATTTCTTATAAATAAGCGTTAAAAATAATTTGGTGTATTTTTTTTCGAAATTTCAATAAAATTGAGAAAAATTTCGAAAAATTCCATTTATTTCGAAAAATAAAGCCCCAATCGTTCTGAAACTATCATTCGCCTGCCATAAAGTGGCCATTGCGGTCATTTTGCACCCCCTATGGAGATCTCAAGACCTTCGGGAGCCGAATAACCAATATTAGGGGTGGGGCGTATGGGTTCCTGGAGAAAAATGACTATGAAAATTTTTGCCCAAAAGTTTCAGCTGGACGGTTTTTTTTTGTGGTTCCTGGGACTATGGACAACACATTCCTGTAGACAAACCTTTGTTACGAATTTGTTCACAGATTGACCCATAAACAGCAATTCTTGCCCTAACTATTAGTCAACCTCCTCTTTAGCTGAAGTCATGAGCTGCAATAAATTGTTTTATTGATTTGTTAATTACATGATATTTGGTAAAAGTACACTGGATTAATCAGGAGGAGGGAGTGAGGAGGAGGGAGGACTACAAGAGCAACTATTTGTAACTATAATGGAGCTGCTACACACCATACTGTGGAGGTACTACGAGAAAGCAGGCTCCCTCACTAAGGACCAGATAGGAAGGATACTGCTTGCTGTTGATGAGCTGGAGAGCAAGATATTTAAAACTACTTCTGTTATCAAGATGAGGTAATTATTAGTAACCAGTTTAGTAACTATTGGTAACCAGTTTAGTAACTATTGGTAACCAGATTAGGGTTACTGTTAGTTACTAGGGTATCAGATTATTTGGGGTTTTGTAGGTTGCGATTCGAAAAGTTTGTTTCTATCTCTTATATCGTCAATTACAGTGATTTCTTCAATTCTTCTGGATGAGAAACAAGATTTATGTATTATAAATGTTAATAAGATTTATAATTCAGTTCAACATTGAGTACGATAAAGTTAAAGTAGGTGGACATAGATATTCGTCTCATAAAATTCGTATGATACTATCGGTGTTACAGCAATCATTATCCAGTTTATTTCTTACTCTTCTTCTTTGCCTCTGATTGATTAATTATCAAAATTGAAAAAGGGCTGTGTTTGAGGGTTAGCCTGTGTGACCAGATGCTAAATAGTATACTGAAAAGAGTTTACTTTTTTGGGTTTCGTTACTTTTTAAATGTTTTTAGGGGGCTCCTCTCTTTAATCAACAGCAGTGATTTCATTAGTTTTTTTTCTAAAAAGGGCTTACGATTGACAATTTATTCCAACTTTGGGTGTTTTATATATATAAATATCAGAAGAGATTCCCAACCCACTATTTCACATACTTCTCAGGTTGTTTGAGCTGATAATACACTCCATGAACCTGGAGCTGAAGAGGTCGGGATATGACGGTGCTATCACACCAGACCACACCTCACTGTTAGAGCTGTTAGAGCACTTCATGTTTAGTAAGGAGGGGCTGGAGGAGGAGGAGGAGGAGGAGGGGGATTGGAGTGATCTTAGTTGTGTTAAGCAGTGGTCTTCTAAGGTAACTTTAGTAATCTACCCATTTGACTGAGATGGGTTTAGGTTACCAGACTTTTTGCCACGGCTTTAACTTATTTTTACTTAATTTCATCAAAGTTGAAAGTTTATAATGACTCTAAACATATTCACATAATTATTACAGTTGGTACAAGAGATCCTCCTGTTCTTCAACCTGCTGGGAGTATGGGACGGTAAGAGTGATATGGAGCTATACAGGATTAGTCTTAGAGTTCTCCTGGGCTGTCTTCATCACCATAGTTACGAGGTTGGTTAATCATCACCCCTTAGCAATCAGCATCTCTAGTCGTCATATCATGTAGCTACATAATATGAAGGCTTTGTTTCACTTCTAAATGAAAAGCTTTTATATTCAGGTTGTTGCATCATCACCAGTTTAACTTCTCCGACTGAAATGCAATCAATGTTGAAATAAATAAACCACAAGTAACCACCTCAGTACGTTTCAACAGCTGCCTCCAAACTCCACACCCTACTAGACCACCCCTACTTTGAGTCCTACTACACAGCTAGTTATGTGCTAGGAGCACTGCACTTCGTTATAGCACCCACACTTGAGGACGGTTAGTAACCATAGTAACTCCCCTTCTAGTAACCATAGTAACGCCCTACTAGTAACCATAGTAACGCCCCTTCTAGTAACCATAGTAACGCCCTACTAGTAGCCATAGTAACGCCCCTTCTAGTAACCATAGTAACGCCCTACTAGTAGCCATAGTAACGCCCCTTCTAGTAACCATAGTAACGCCCTACTAGTAACCATAGTAACGCCCCTTCTAGTAACCATAGTAACGCCCTACTAGTAGCCATAGTAACACCCTACTAGTAACCATAGTAACGCCCCTTCTAGTAACACTATGGGAGCACCTCCTGTCATAACTTCTCAGAATATTCTGCGTATGTGTGTGGGTGTGACAGCAGGTATGGGTGCCTCTTTTTATGTTTTAACATGTAATTTGATTACATGATCATATTATGAACAATAAACAAATAACGTACTTACAGAAGTGAACCAGCTGCACATCTTGCTAATCCCCCTGGTGCACACAGCCCTCACACGGTGGGGCACTATTCTGGGGCTAGATCAGTCAGCACTGGATCAGTTGCCTGGAGACGAGCACTCTCCTGACTTCATGGACGACTTCTCATGTTCATTGATACACATGAGTGGGAGAGCTTTATTAGTAACCAGGTGAGAAGGATCTAGAAACCACGTGAGGGTTGTCATAGTAACCACGTGACTATAACCACCAGAGATACAAGTTCTTAGTTCAAGTAATATGCCGTCGAAGATGATTAACACAACAGTATTTTGATACCAACCCCTCAGGTGTATCCGGCAGTAGCAAAGTTCTCTAAAGAAAACAACGACACAGCAGTAGCCGCCACTGCTAGAGAGTTCCTGAAGATACAGGAGTTGTTGGAGGAAGATATTATCCTGATGAACAGAGCTAGGATGGAGCGGTTAGAGGGCTATGAGAAGGTAAGTCACGTGATAATGAGAAGGTAAGTTACGTGATAATGAGAAGGTAAGTCACGTGATAATGAGAAGGTAAGTCACGTGATAATGAGAAGGTAAGTCACGAGATAATGAGAAGGTAAGTCACGTGATAATGAGAAGGTTAGTCACGTGATGATGAGAAGGTAAGTCACGAGATAATGCAATGAGAAGGTAAGTCACGTGATAATGAGAAGGTAAGTCACGTGATAATGAGAAGGTAATTCACGTGATAATGAGAAGGTAAGTCACGTGATGATGAGAAGGTAAGTCACGTGATGATGAGAAGGTAAGTCACGTAATAATCAGAAGGTAAGTCACGTGATAATGAGAAGGTAAGTCACGTGATAATGAGAAGGTAAGTCACGTGATAATGAGAAGGTAAGTCACGTGATAATGAGAAGGTAAGTCACGTGATAATGAGAAGGTAAGTCACGTGATAATGAGAAGGTTAGTCACGTGATGATGAGAAGGTAAGTCACGCGATAATGAGAAGGTAAGTCACGTGATAATGAGAAGGTAAGTTACGTGATAATGAGAAGGTAAGTTACGTGATAATGAGAAGGTAAGTTACGTGATAATGAGAAGGTTAGTCACGTGATGATGAGAAGGTAAGTTACGTGATAATGAGAAGGTAAGTTACGTGATAATGAGAAGGTAAGTCACGTGATAATGAGAAGGTAAGTCACGAGATAATGAAATGAGAAGGTAAGTCACGTGATAATGAGAAGGTAAGTTACGAGATAATGAGAAGGTAAGTCACGTGATAATGAGAAGGTAAGTCACGAGATAATGAGAAGGTAAGTCACGAGATAATGAGAAGGTAAGTCACGTGATAATGAGAAGGTAAGTCACGTGATAATGAGAAGGTAAGTTACGTGATAATGATAAGGTAAGTCACGTGATAATGAGAAGGTAAGTCACGAGATAATGAGAAGGTAAGTTACGTGATAATGAGAAGGTAAGTCACGTGATAATGAGAAGGTAAGTCACGAGATAATGAAATGAGAAGGTAAGTCACGTGATAATGAGAAGGTTAGTCACGTGATGATGAGAAGGTAAGTCACGCGATAATGAGAAGGTAAGTCACGTGATAATGAGAAGGTAAGTTACGTGATAATGAGAAGGTAAGTTACGTGATAATGAGAAGGTAAGTTACGTGATAATGAGAAGGTTAGTCACGTGATGATGAGAAGGTAAGTTACGTGATAATGAGAAGGTAAGTTACGTGATAATGAGAAGGTAAGTCACGTGATAATGAGAAGGTAAGTCACGAGATAATGAAATGAGAAGGTAAGTCACGTGATAATGAGAAGGTAAGTTACGAGATAATGAGAAGGTAAGTCACGTGATAATGAGAAGGTAAGTCACGAGATAATGAGAAGGTAAGTCACGAGATAATGAGAAGGTAAGTCACGTGATAATGAGAAGGTAAGTCACGTGATAATGAGAAGGTAAGTTACGTGATAATGATAAGGTAAGTCACGTGATAATGAGAAGGTAAGTCACGAGATAATGAGAAGGTAAGTTACGTGATAATGAGAAGGTAAGTCACGTGATAATGAGAAGGTAAGTCACGAGATAATGAAATGAGAAGGTAAGTCACGTGATAATGAGAAGGTAAGTCACGAGATAATGAGAAGGTAAGTCACGTGATAATGAGAAGGTAAGTCACGAGATAATGAGAAGGTAAGTCACGTGATAATGAGAGTTTTGAAGTTGTTTTCTAACATAAAGGCTTTAAATCCTACATATCCTGTTTTACAACAGTATTCATCCAGGACATTACGACCCAGTACAAGAAACGTGTTGAGTTTGAAGTTAACCGACATATTCTGGACACCAACGGTCGACACAACAAACATCACGCCAGTGAGTATAAGGACCGGGGGTAGGGGGGCCGGGGGAGATGTGACATGTGGGTGCGGTAATATTTTGTAAATAGTGCGATTCCTAACCTGCCCAAAACTTTTTATGTGCAGGCAAATTTGGAGACAAAAACACTGCAATAAAGCTGGACACTTCGCCAAATTTGCTGCTTTTATGTACTCTTAGGTTGGATTTAAACAGCTTAATATATTACGTTGCCTTACACGATTGTTTTTGTTAACACGACAATTAACTTACAAGATGTGTGACGTAATGTCTTAAACTGAGTTTCCTGACAATTCAATATGTATAAAATTATAAATCTAGAACTACCCTCATAGAAGGTTTTACAATTAGATTCAATATTATAACTTTAGTCTTTAGAATAAACTATTCCAACACATTGTGTGTATAAGCGACTAGCATGACTTATACAAAGTGCCTCAATTTCAATCTGTTGAGGGATCCAGCTTGATACGTCGTTCATTTACCAAGATTCACCCCTTTTTTTTTTATTTTAATCAAATATTGATAGAATTGATGCAATATTGATGCAATTTGCTATCCTTCTGGGCGGGACCTCGAAGGATGGAGGAGGGGGTTATGTTCACTACCAGGGTCCAGGGTCGATAATAAAAGTAGTGTGACTTTATCAATGTTTGATAAATGAAAGTCATTTTTAATTTCCCGCCTGGCATCAAGTATATAATATTCATAACTATATAGTATATTATATTTATTACTTACCTTACCACTACCACCACTACCACTACCCCAGTAATAAAGGAGTGGAAAGAACGTAAGAAAGTAAATTCATTACTTAAAGTAAATTCATTACTTAGAGTATATTCATTACTTAAAGTAAATTCATTACTTAAAGTGTATTTATCACTTACCTTACCACCACCACCACTACCACTACCCCAGTAATAAAGGAGTGGAAAGAACGCAAGAAGTTCATGACATCAGACCGGGGTGTGTGGGGAGGCGATGGCAACAAGACCCCTCTCTACTGGAAGAGGGATACCCACGAGAACTACACCAGGATGAGACTCAGGACCTGTCCTAATAATGAGTTTAACCCTCATAACGACGCTAAGTTCTACGATGAGTACGATGTCTTGAGGTTAGTTAATAGTTCATATCTGCCTATCTGATGGTACCCGCGGGGGGGGGGGACGGAAATAGCTACGACCCTCACCCCATTATTCTTGCTGTTTTTCTGTAAAAGATTCGATTTTCCCTCCTTTCAATATCGGGATACATACAAATTGCGATACAAACCCCGTAAATAAAGCTGAGCCCCTTCCCTTTTAAATAAAACTTTCTTTTTACCAGAGAAGAGAGCTCGGTTAACCTGCTGGGAGTATCAGAGGAGGCCCGGATAAGAGCTGACAAGGAGACCCAGGAGTCCTGGGAAGTGGTCATGAACAACAACATTCCTGATGTCACCGACGACGAACAGCTTATATTCTTCGAGGTAGGATTCAGGAATTAAGTAACTCGTGATTTTGGTGAGGTTAGATTACGAATTGGTTATATTTTATGTAGGGTCACTAAGAACAGGAACTGTACCAACATTAACTATTATTCTTCAACTAGGACTGTCACCTGGTGACACTGCTCAATATAATCCCTGGCACCCTGAAAGTTTCACCTACTCACATCTACTTTTACGAGCATGAAAAGGATGAAACTCACCACAAATTGTCCCATAACAATCTGGTGTGGAAGATAAAGGACATCCGTGAGATTCACTTGAGAAGATATAATCTCAGATACTCTGCTATTGAGTTCTTCTTAACGGATCAGACTAACCATTTTATTAATCTGAGGTTGGTTTTTATTTTACCTTCTCGTTATTGTTGTGCTTAGATTTTTCTCTGTTTCATTGAATTGAGACTTATTTGGAGTATGGTTTTCAATCATTTCTCAGCGCATTATAGTTATCTGGCCACACAACATTGAGCCACAAGTGTTTATTGAGAGTTATGTTAGGATAAATACAATAATGTATAAAAACAATTCCTTCACAGCAAATACCACCGCAACAAAGTTTACAGCAAGATAATGTCTCTGAGACCAGCAAACCTAGTTCACGGCATTACCCGCACCCCCGAGGAGATGGTCGCCAGTTCCAACATCACTAAAAAGTGGATGGAGAGGAGAATCTCCAACTTTGAGTACCTCATGAACTTAAACACGATCGCTGGACGAACCTACAACGATCTCTCCCAGTACCCCGTCTTCCCCTGGGTGTTGACTGATTACCTGAGCGACTCTATAGACTTTGAGAGCCCTCTCTGTGAATGTTTCAGGGACTTCAGCAAGCCTATCGGAGCACAGATACCAGAGAGAGCAGAGCACGCAGATATAAAGTACCACTCCCTCCCTCAGGACGGTCTGGACCCTCCCTTCCACTGGGGAACACACTACAGTAACCCAGGTGCTGTGCTTTACTACCTGGTTAGGATGGAGCCCTACACTTCACTTCATATTGACCTTCACGGCAGGTTCGACCACCCTGACCGGCACTTCTACAACATCAACAACAGTTTCAATAGCTCCACCAGAGGTCAGGGCGACTGCAAGGAGCTCATTCCGGAGTTCTTTTACCTCCCTGAGTTCCTTGTTAACTCTAATGAGTTTGATTTTGGGACCAGGCACGATGGGAAGCCTGTGGGAGATGTTATTCTACCTAACTGGGCTAAATCACCTGAGGATTTCATTGTTAAACACAGGTTAGAGGATAATACAGTCGTTATAATTAGCTGCTATAATAATATATCGTTATAATTAGCTGCTATAATAATATATCGTTATAATTAGCTGTTAATATAATATAATGTTATAATTAGCTGCTATAATAATATATTGTTATAATTAGCTGTTAATATAATATAATGTTATAATTAGCTGTTAATATGCTACAGTCGTTATAATTAGCTGCTATAATAAGATAAGTTGTGGAACACAACAAGAAAATTGAGAATAATCTTGTGCGAGGGTAGGGACCCAGATGTCGTTTCTAACCGAAATAAACTTCTTCTTATCTATGAATTACAAAATACTTAATTAGATTATTACATAATTTAAATGAACTTAAAGCTAATTGTTCTCAAATCTCAAGTATGAACACGTTTGTAGTAGAATTATCAAATAAAAACCTGGCAAATAACTCTGGTTAACGTCTCAGAGCGGCGTTAGAAAGCGACTACGTATCGAACAATATAAACTACTGGATAGACCTGATATTTGGGTACAAACAGAGGGGGCAGGCTGCTAAAGAGGCTCTTAACGTCTACCACTACACTAGCTACGAGGGTAAGGGTCCTAGCACAACATGCCTTGTTTTCTGGTATAACTCTATCTGCAAGGGTCCTAGCACAACATGCCTGTAATTTGTTTTCTGGTATAACTCAATCTGCAATCTACACTTTGTTTTTATTTTGGCCAAAGCCGGCCATATTATTAGTATTGATATCAAGTTTATTAAAATTAAATAAAAAATTGCTACAATTCCGAATGCGTCATTGAGTTTTACACTACACAAAAGACGCTCTTTGCATAATCACAAAAAGAAAGTAATCACGTAAACTCTACAGGTATGGTAGATCTAGATAACGAAAAAGACCCCAAGAAACGGCGGGCACTGGAGGCTCAGATCAGTAACTTTGGACAGACACCCCGTCAGATATTCAAGGAACCCCATCCTAAGAGAATGAATCTGTCAGAGGCATCCTCACTTAAGGGTTTACTATTATAGTTTATTTCTTGTCAGTTTGGGAACATTTAGTAGAAATCTTGAAAATGCACCTATATATGTAGTATATTCTGTAATGAACTCACTAAAGGGTTTGTTGAAGTTCAACTGAACTATTTAATCAGAAATGTTGCACTGCACCGAACTCTAATCTGTTTTAATCTACTCTAATCTGCAATAGGAAACACTGATATTATTCTTACTACTAAGTTTGGAAAGTAGTACACTGTGATCTAACACACTTCCCCCTAACTCAGGTTCAGCTCTATCACACGTGCTAAATGCACCCGCCCTGAAAGCTAATGCAATACAGATGGGTGCTCCCGAGAACCCACTCATATTTGCGGGAGTCAGTGGAGGGTCTCCCAATCAAGTTATAGAACGGGGTGTCATGGACAACCTGGTTAGTTTACTTTCTTTAAATATTTGAGCGGTTTAGTCGAACAAAGTGCCTTATCATTTTCTTCAATTTATAAGTGTACCAGAGAAGTTAAACTCCGCTACTGTAACATGAAATAACATCTCAAATTCCTTACATGTTCCAGACTTGATCCATGTTTATTGTGCAGGTTACGATATCCAGGAATGGAGTGTATGGTATCCACAACTGGTTAGCAAGGTGGACTGGAGCTCATCCTTTCTACTGTGAGAAGGATACTCAGGTACGACATTCTCAGCTTAAAATCTTAATTTCATATCATCAAGTTTGAACAATAAATGGTGAAAGCATCAGATTTTAAGATACAGTGAGTTGTCCCAGATACAAACTTAAAATTCTCGTCCATCTCCGACGAATTTGCTGATACCATGATGTACTAACTCTCCTTCTAACCCGCAGCTAGAAGAAGGAGTAAGGTGCGTATCAGGGCCCTTCTCCCCCGGAGCCCGCACACCCTGCAACCTAGTGCGACTAAGTGCGGACGGGAAGGTGCTGTTCACAGCCGGACTCTGGGATAACAGCATCAGAACAGGACGTGTGAACCAGCACGAGATAATCCCTCTAGGAGTTCTCTACCACCACAAGAACGTGATATCCTGCATGGAACTAGATGGGAAGTACCTAGCTACCGGTGGTAGAGACACCACGGTAGTGATCTGGAAGTTGCTGAGGAAGGGAGGTGAGTGTAACGGACTGAAGCCTCATCCCAGTGCGATATTATACGGCCACAACTCGGAGGTGACGTGCGTGGCGCTGAGTCAGGAGCTGGATATAGTGGTGTCTGGATCTACAGAGGGCATTGTCCTGATTCATACCCTGAAACAGGGAACCTATATCCGCACTCTGGTGCCCCATGTTCCCACGGAGCCTGACTCGGACCACTTCACTGTGTCCTTTGTGGGTATTGCTAGTAACGGGAACCTTGTTATTGCTGGCAAGCTGCCAAGTAACAAGGGCGGTCACCACTCTGTCATATACCTCTACACTCTGAACGGGAAGCTGATAAAGCGAGCTAAGTTAGAGGACGAAACAAGTGCCATGTTCCTGGAGGGGAACAGAGTAGTGTTGGGAGGAACTACTGGGTCTCTGGAGATACGGGACACTGACTACATCAACATCAAACATAAACTAAGGCTCAAGACAGGGGTGGTGGCTGTGTCCAAGGACCCTAGAAACCAGCATTTGTTTGTTACGACCACTGATGGCAAGCTGCTTATATTAACTGCTACAGCTAAACCTTTTAGTAAAACTAAAAAGTAGTGGAATTGTGTGCATGTTTTTACAAGGAAAATTAAGTTTTTATCGTGTTTCTGTAGTGCTTGTATCTGATCTTATAAGAAAGATCAATTTGAAAACTTACAAATAACAGAAAGTAAAATTTAAGTTTGATTTAAGTTTGAAGGATTGAATTGCAGAGGAAAGTATCCACTTGCACGGTTATACAATTCTTACTTGAGTTCTATAAAGTTATTCTACTGATACGGCACTTTTTTGACGACATCAATTATATAATTTGATTGGAACAATGGAACTCTTGCTTTGTCGCAGAAATATCTACTACGTATTTAGGTTAAATTAGATTAGCCATTTTGAATGAAGACTTGGATTGCAGTGCAACTAAGCAGTTTGGTATAATTGATCATTTTCATTTCGTGTACTGAATATATTGTATTGATTTATAAGAAATTTATCTGTTAAACTTCAATTTAAGTGTTTTTGTTACAAGAAATTATATCAGTTGTATAAAGTAAAGCTAAAGTTGCAGATAAAATGGTGCTATCCCCTAATTAGGCTTATCAGCGTCTGAAATACTCTAGGAAACCTTTTTAGAAGGATCCCAACATTCGAAGTGTGAGTGATTTAGCACCCCGCGTACTGTTGACAAGCCCGTATATTACATAATATGACAATTTTATGTTGGTTTATTGGTTATGTACTCTTAGTTTAATTTATCTGTGTTAGATGTGAGTTGACAGCCGAATTATTTGCAGTTAATTAAGTATTTCCTCGTTCTTTCCTTGGCGTTTGATGATCTTACCATTGCTCCCCTACCACTTCTAGTTTAACACTTAATGTTCGATTAATGATGTATCCAGGGCTACGAAATGCTAGTTTGAGTACCGTATTATACTTATGAGATGCGAACACTGTTAAATTTGTAGATGTTACATCAGTTTATTTGGGACGCAATGTGTGCACCAGCGTGGAATACAGAATAGACGACTTTTGTAACATCTCCGCCGTTGTACTTGTACGTAGATAATTTCCCGTTGCACTTGTATGTAGGAAATACCACCATCCATGTGTCTAATCCAGTCCATGAGTCATTAAGGGAATAATGGTTTAATGGGCTGTGTTAATTTGAAATCATGCTCGGAACAATTCCGACAGCTTACTCAAAGTTGGACTATTTTACGGTAGATAGGAGTTACCATATTCCGACAGCTTACTCAAAGTTGGACTATTTTACGGTAGATAGGAGTTACCATGTTCCGACAGCTTACTCAAAGTTGGACTATTTTACGGTAGATAGGAGTTACCATATTCCGACAGCTTACTCAAAGTTAGACTATTTTACGGTAGATAGGAGTTACCATATTCCGACAGCTTACTCAAAGTTAGACTATTTTACGGTAGATAGGAGTTACCATATTCCGACAGCTTACTCAAAGTTAGACTATTTTACGGTAGATAGGAGTTACCATGTTCTCTCAAAGTTAGACTATTTTACGGTAGATAGGAGTTACCATGTTCGTGAGCTTGTGTTGAGTTGCTAGTCGGTTGTGTGCTAATTTTGCAGTTTGCACTTCTCAAATGCATTTTGGTATTGTCTCTCGTGTTCTATCCCAAATCAAGCCGTAGATATTTAGTGATATGTTTTATTTTTCAAGTAAAGACTGCAGATTGTTTTTCGATGTGATAATAACGATGTTAAAATTAATGGAACTACAAACGACTTGTACCATTAGTATAGTAGTATATAGTTGTAGTATTGCATAATAAATATTAGTACATAATTAAGTGACATAATAAGTCATCGTGATCCTCTCATTTTTGACATGTCTGTGTTTACTCTTGACTCACTTTGCACTTTGTCAGAGTATGCTGATTTCGTATCTTGTACAACGCATATATTGTCATTACCTCTTTTTTTATATCTCATATCTGGCCATTTGCTAGTATTTAAATTTTTATTTTCGAAGCAAAAAACTTGATAAAGATATGAAGTTGAACGGTACTAACTAATGAAACTACATAATCAATTGCAATGCCTATCGTCTAGTAGTAGTAGTACATATTATGATCAAACATAGTAGTGGGCAATATCTGTCTATGAAGCCCGACCAAGGCGAGATATTAGGGTAGACGACGTTAGTAGTTTGGGAATTATTGTATCGTGATGCACCACTGGGCCACGCCGAGCTGCGAAGGATTGACATAATTAGAGTTCGGTTTGTATTCCCAACCTAGGCCTTTAAAAAGCCGAGTGATTTTGGATTTGCTGGTTTAAATTTAGTTGGTGCTAACAAGTGATAAGACTGATATCAAATCACTCGCCAGCGTGCTGTCAGTGTTAAGTGTTAAGTGACTTGGCCTGGGTTATTACCATTTTGTAACGAAATGGTCTCACCGGAACTCTAACCTCTATAGTGAATTAGAATACACATAACCATGGTCCTAATCCTCCTCCGATCCATTGTTAAAAGTTAATGGACTGACCCGACGAGCACTACTTCAAGTGTTTCACGGGTGATACTCGTAAAATATGTGTTCAAAATATCCAAGACTGTCGACGAGTCCAACTCGGTGCGCGTTTTGATAGGCTATTAACTGTAACCGGACTTATAGTTATATTATTACGCGAAAAGTGGCATGCAACGTATGTCAAGCATTTTGCCTAGTCTGTAGTCAGTTATACTTATACTTATATTACTTTGAGGCACAATTAGATTTTGACCGTTCTGTGTACATTAATTGTAAATGCTGATTTCGATTTTAATGGTAAGTATTTAAAGTTAAGGTGCGCAGATTTGTACTTCAAATTTTTATATTATCTTCACGACTACTTTAAAACCAAAATTAATTTTAATCCTAAATAGTCAGTGTAATAAGTGCCAAGCGCGAGCACAGAACTTTTTTCTCCGATTTCGATAAATTTGGTACCAAAAGTTGTTTAAAAATGTGAATAAAATAAATCCACCGTGTAGCAGTTTTTTAGTTTTTGGCCTGTAACTTTCACATTTTCAGTTATTATCACATAATTATTATGGCATCGTAATAAGCTCATCGAGACAAAACTTTTGGTACTAATATTTTAAGATTTAAAGGAAAATTATTTTCAAACATTTTTAATCTGAACACAAGGTCTCCCCCCCCCCCCCCCCCCCCCCTTGTTGCTTGTGTGAAATTTTGACCAAATTTTTAAGTTCATTACGATCCTGTATGAATTATTTCAAAATATACAATATGTTAGGAGTTATAGGCATTTTAAGCAATAAATTACCCATTTTTCGTCCTTTGTACACTCTTGCGATGCACAGGAGGCCCACATACAGCTCAACGTTATCAGTTATCGTGCTACACGGTGAATTTTCATTATTCACACTTAGAGGCAACTTTTGGTACCAAATTTATCAAAATTAGAGACAAAAAATTCTTTGTCAGCTCATGGCGCTTATTACATAGACTAAAAGCATAAACAGCCCAAATTACTTTTTTTAAAATTTCTTATGAAAAGGCCCTGAGGCCGAGGGTATGAAAGTAATTTATTTTGGTGTATTTTGTACGCTGATTATCCGAATCACGCGCGCTATATATAATACTCCACAGCACAATTTGATTTGTATTGTGCTCGGGCCAATATAAATATTTCGAAAAGAAAGCATGAGTGCACGCGCTAATTCAGAAAAGTATCATCCGTAAATGGTCAACTTTTACATTGTACATGAATTTTAAACTAAAATAATGAAATTAGTGTTTTACTAATTCATAACTTGTCACTTAGGTAAAAACTAAAAATTCTTAGCGAGTGGTTTGGTGGTATGTGGTACTAAATTAATTTTGCATCGTAATCCATGGACGATGTTTGCTTTGCATTTTCATTTACTAGGCCGCGCTCAGCCTGTCCACTGTCGGATGATAATTAATCACTCTACACTCGACTGTCACGTGACTTTTTCAACTCGTTCTCTAGCTGGTCCTGAACGACTATTCGAAACCTTAACCCTCTTATCTGATCCTTGATTCACGATGTCAATCCTTCGCAGCTCGGTGAGGCACAGTGGTGCATCTCGCCGAATCTACCGAAGAGAAGCATTATTTGCGAGAAGCATTATTTGATGCGCGCGCGACCCAGTAGTGCATCGCGCTACAAATCTGATCCCAACCCTAACCCTAACCCAATCCTTAACAAAAGCATATGCTGAAACCCTAACCCTAACGAGAAATTAGACTAACTTCCTTATACGGTCATATCACGTGATCGAGACAGTTTTTCGCCTATATCTCGTCAGGGGAGCATTTTAACCCTATGTCATGGGGGGTGATTCGGAATCAGCGTCCGAAAATACATCGATTGAAGTTGGTTTCAACTGCAAACTGTCGGGGGCCCTTTTAGAACAATCTCGAAGATCGACTGTAGAGTGATTTAGTACGCTCGCAGCCTGTCATTCCGCCAAATCTCTATTGTTAATTTAATGAACATGATAGCCTGAGGTCCCCAGGTAAATTTTCATATCATATTTACTTGGCACGCAATTCTTTATGCGCGGCGCTATTTTCATAAAGCTTCTGAATCTTACGTGAAACATGAAAGAAGCAAGCAATAACAAATAAAATCAATGAAAATAATTAATTATGGCAATCTGTTATATTATTAAATGGACTGACCCGGCGCGCGCTACTTCGTAGCATTTGCAATTGCCTCAGGCTCAAAATATTTCGAGAACAGATAAAAAAGCGGTGCGCGCTACTTCCAGTTCCAACTTCGAAGAAATTTAGACGATTAACATTCGTCAATTTATTACAGCTCGAAGCTCTGCTACGATCTTCGTGTCGCGTCGCGTCGAAGCGTCGATGGTCGAAGCGGCGCTGTCTTCCAAGCGATGTAAACTACTAGCACCAAATAACCCTGCAAAGCTTATATTACAATTTACAATTTAAAATTAGCGCACCTTGCACTTGACTGCAGACTGCACTGGTGACAAAGTGACAACGTCCTTTTTAATCAGTTAATCATTACCTAGCTTACAGCTACTCGGCTGGCCTGATGCTTGCTTAATTTCTTCACGTAGAGTGCAAGAAGCTCAAAAAGAGCACCGTACACAAGGATTGGCTTGCCAGGTATTTGTAATTCCAGTGACACAAATCAGTATCTTTGCTTGAAAGCGCGGCCCGGCCGTAGTCCGTACTTCGCAGCAAATAGCCACGAAGTAAAGGGGCTGATTTGACAACAATTTGTAAGTCTCCCTAGCCAGGAATTTTAAAAGTTTTTACGAAAGGGTTGATATACTAAAAGTACGACAGTAGTTTCATATTCAACGTATTTTGAACGCTGATTATAATTCATCCCCTCATCCCCTTCTCTAACCCTAACGCTAACCCTAACACTGTAACAGTAACGCTAACCCTCGCTATAGAAATTGTGAAACAATTTATAGGTCACATTATATCATATATACTAGTAGTGAAACACGAATACGATTGTGTAGTGTTGAGGTTGGGGCTTTTGTTAAAACACATGAAAGCACGCTGTCGTGTGGCGACAGCTACAGGCGAGTAAATCAGTGATTGTAAAAGCCTGCATTAACTTATTAATACTTGGGGACCCCTTCAAAATACAAGGGCAGGTCTCTCCCGTAAGTTGGGGTGGTCTGAGGTGCTTATCTCCTTTGCAGTAACCCTAAGCCACTCTGTGCCGAGGCACTATATATATACTAGCTCTAGGGGGGTTAGTCCTACGAGTACGAGCCAGAGAGCGTGTATCACCAGCAAATCACAGCTTGGTAACTAGCCGACTTGCATCCGACTAGATTTGAACCCGGGCCTTCTGCTTTGGAGGCGATCGTGTTACCACTATAACACCACCCGGCCGACTTGGGGACTATTCATAAACACAAATGAAGATATGGCGGGGTTTGTCGCTTGACAGGCCTACCGCCGCCCAGTGAGCATTAACAAAATTAAATACATACCGCTGATCAGTGATCTTAACAAGAACTTCAACTAAATAAATGGTTTGACGTTTCGCATGTCATTAGCTATTATTTGAAATCTATTGTTTGTTACTTGGGACAATTAAAATACATGCGATACATTGTACTTGAACTTAAAGTAAACGTGAATGTCATATTCTCTCTTTTCATAACATCATTTTAGTGTACTACTAGTAGTAGTACTGCTACTAGTTACTACTACTACTACCAGTTTCTTTGTTATAATATACAGGGTGTACCGTAGAAAGTGTGTTTTTTTCCACTTCTGTAGTTTTCTGTAATTTTTTTACAAAATCAAACTTCATAGTTATTTTTAACTAAATTTTGTTGGAAATATATTTGAATTAATGATAGTAATAAAAAATATGGTTAATAGTGAAGCACCTTCCAAAAAAAGCCACCCTTCCCAAAAATTAAATATTTACATCACCCATGCACCATTTTCAAGCTTTCTAGACTTTATCGTGATTCTATGGGTTTGTTTTGCAATGAGAATTTGTAGCTTTTGAACTATAATGTATAAATTCTACAATCCAAGCTTTGAATTGAAGCATTGTTTATAATTTTGGTTTTAGTTTTTTATAAGCGACTTCGGGAACGAAATTAATTGTACTGCAGAACTAAAATTACATTCTCAGATGAAGTTCGCCTGCCTAACCATGCTAATTTCTACGCTGTTATTTTTGGTTGTGTCAGGTAAGAAATAAAGTTGCAATTAGTTAATAGTTTAAACAAAATAGGTGTCAAAGTATAAAATAGGAACGTGCATTTTATAACGATATTGTATTAATATTATCGAATCGAGGATATCAGTATAATAACAAAGTTTTTAATTGTTAAACTTGATATATTTAAAGTTAACGTTGATTTTACACTCGCCGTTTCTTACAAACAATTTATTAATTTCAGTTACGAGTACAACAGATGGCACTGAGGACGCCTCATCAGCGCCGCCAGTACTACCAGATCCAGAACCCACCGACGCACCCGTAGAAGCAGAAGAAGTGCCCGAAGCAGAAGTGCCTGAAGCAGAGGAGCCTGAAGAGACGCCAGCAGCAGAGGACCCTGATGATATGGATGTCAAAAGTACTGCTACTCACCCTCTTACGTCATCTATCATTCTTGCAACTGCAGTAGGAACTGGTGTCATGCTCGTGTTGGGCCGATACTGATCCCAGTCAGGTACCGTTAGTCATTAAAATAGCGATAAAAGGGGACCCTTGGTAATATAATGCGCTAGAAGAGTTTTAAAATATACTTTAAATTGTTGATCCTGGGATGCTCATAAAAGAACTTTTGAAATCGTGTTCAAGAATTTAGGGTTTTTACTATTTTTTGATAATTTTAATTCCATATAATTACTTTTTAAATTATGAAAATTGGTTCAATCTTTGTTTCATCTTTGTCACAGTTGTATAAAGTTGACAAAAAGAGAAATCACAGTTTCGACTTTTGATAGAAAAAGTTACAAAAATAATTTATACAATAAACATGAATTTTGTGACAATTGGTTCACTCAGAGTTCATTTCAAGTTTGTTCGAACTCCCCTCCACATACGATTAAACATAATAAAGCTTACAGCAGTTATGAGTAAAATCCGCCCCCAAAAATTATCGTCCAAAAGACTGATCTGTTAAAAGGGGATAAAACCATCAAAGAACAACCAAAAGTATGTATAAATCACTGATAAACTTATCACACTCCACCAAAATGCCTCAGTGAGATATTTTGGTAATAAACATCACCTTCAAATCAAGATGTTAACACAAATGATTAAATTCTATCACAAATAATGATTCATGACTAAAACATGCCACATTGAATTTGCAGGATAGTATCAACAAAGAATAACATGAGCGGTTTAAATCCAATATTCGCTACACGGACACCCACCAAGTCATTGAAAAAACCTGTTGTATGAATTATGACTGATCCGACCAACTTTTGATAACATTACACCGGTAAGTTTTCGTATCACTTGCTATGTAATCAGTCATCAGTCATCAAGTTTTAAAAATATAATCAATTATTTCATCATTGAAACATGCTTCAATATGATCACAAATAGGATATATACAAATTCATTTGCTGGATACACCGAAATCTCAAGTAAGGGTCACTGCGAATCATCCTTTGATATTTAATTTAAATTTTAAGGATGGCTTCGATTTGAGTTTTGGGTCATAGCCAATTTTAGATTCAACATAAAAATGATATTTTCATTCATTTAATGAAGTATCAAATCTTCAACCTTATCTGGCACTTAGATTCACTTTTAAATAATCTCCCTTACATATGCCACAAACAGTCAACTGTTTCGAAAATGTAAAGTCAGCATTACAGTTTGACTAAGCTGTAATACCGACTTTTTATTTTCAAAACAAAATTAACTATAGTTTATCTGTCAAATAATCAATACCAAAACTGATTAGATTTCAAAAAAATGAAAGTCTAGAAGTTCTGCTTAGACTTCATTTGCTTAGATTTAAAATCGTAAGAAAAACGGCAATATATAAAGGACAAAGGTTATATAACATCGTTGACATGCAATTTAGGATCCACTGGTGGATTATAATGGCAGATCAAAAGATCTATACTGAATATTCTGAATATTCTATACTGAATATTTTTCAGTTTTCTCCAGTTTGCTTTCTCGCCCGAGCCAGCGCGATAACTTGATTTGGGGGCCGGGTAAGATAACTGGTAGCTGTGTTCTAACAATATGGATCTGACTAGTTTCTGTTGCTCCGAAATCACTCCACCAATCCTCGATTCAGCACCGCAGAATAGTTGGCTAATTCTGTTATACGATTTCTGTAAACTTATCCACATCGAACAGTGTCGTTTGTAGCCACTTTTATAGACATCAAACAATCAAATGATTCCCTCATTGCATGATCGTGCTAACAAGTCGATGAAAGTTTCAAATCAGTAGTATTCGAAGAAGACTTAGTTTCGATTGCTCACAATATACGAAAAATCATCAACATCAAAAAGTTCGCCTATATTATTTCTGAAAATAGATGAACCACGAAACACAAGAATAGGGTTTATTATCGAGAAAGCTATCGTCAACGAAAACTTTAGTCTGAAGATGATAAGCGAAATGTCATCAAATTTCGGTGGACCATCCGGGTCATCGAAGTTCACATAACTATAATCATAAATCCTGAACGCCATCAACAGATGTCGTACTTCAATGTAGATAGCCGCACTGTAACACACCAAGAAAAGCACAAGAATGTTATTAACGATACTTTTAGCGACGATTATGGGCCGAGTGTCACTTTCATCTTCTGACGCGGCCCTGCTTTGAATGATAAGCGGGGTGGATTCACTGAGTTCTGAACCAACGCTGGTGAAACGATTGACGGCAAATTTCCGGGGTTCGGCAATCTTTTTAACTTTAGCCCGGACGATAGTCAAGCAGAGCATGATTCCAACAGAGCAGAGGATTACTGGTAGCGCGTCAGCTAGTACATAATAGATCTGGTCCTCGGTGCTGAAGTCTATTGTGTAGTAGATACACCAGCCGTCAGGTAGTGCCATCGTCTTAACTGAAATGTACACAAGTTTGTTAGCTTCCTGTGGTATTCATACCATATTAGGGAAATTGGGAGATTAGGGTTGGCCACGATCCGATACAGTCACGATACGACCTTTAAATATTGTCTCTAAACGGTCACAATACGGCCACAATTCGGCCACTAAACGGCCACAATACGGCCACTATACGGCCACAATACGGCCACAATACGGCTACTTTCGGGACCTCTACCGATAGTTGAAAGCTAAACTTCATTTGTGTACGACTATTCGATTGAAGACATTACATTTTAAATTTGATTTATGGAGGCATTAAAATTCAAACTTTATAGAGAACTCTAACAGCCGCATAGTGGCCGCGTAGCGGCCAAACCCAATCTCCCAATCTCCCCATATTATATAAAGGAAGAGCAGGGGTAGAAAATGACAAAAATGTTAACGTTAATGTAATTTCTACACAATCTAAGGCCTGAAAAATGTAACTGACGTCATAAAAACATGATATGAAGGGTCAAATTGCATATCAATTACCATGTCTCCAGAAACAGACTTATAAATCACTAACTATCTTTCCAGAAATGTGCCCAAAGAAAATGAAATGAATGTGCGGGGTATCATTGAATATTGCATAATATTTATAACTCCCACCTGAGGTTAGAGACAGCCAGCCTCTGAGAGCGAAGGCTACAACATACACCAGGAATATCATCAAGTAGACTCTAGCTTTGGACAGCCTCATCCATGGTAAATACAAGATATGAACCTGAAATGAAATGTTTTTATTATTTTTCTGTTTGTCTGTTTGTCTTTTTGTCTGTTTCTCTCTAATTATTTGTCTGTTTCTCTCTAATTTGCTTCTATTTTCACCCAATCTTACTATGGATATTAAGTTAATGGATATTAAGTTTGTTGAATAAGTACAGCGTGGCCCAGAAAACTTTCTGAAAGTATAATGGTTGCAAATACAAACCACATACAGCTACTCAATGAAAGTTTCCGGATTAAAAAGTACAGAAGCATTTTAGTTTGTTTGTTCTTCTGTGGGGTCTACCGCGCAATACAATAGTTTGGGCGTGTTTACAAGGAATATAAGGTAACGTAATGTCACTTTCAGTAAATCAATGTCTGTTATCAAATATGCTGATGTGCTTAGTACAATCATTTCGTGCCTTATTCAGAAAACTTGTCTTCCTTAACAGACCTTAGCCTATGATAAAGTGGAAACTAAACAAGGCATCTGAATTAGGGCACCGCTTGTTAGGAAGAAAAAGCACGCCCTAATGATGAAAAAATTAAGTATGGGTGAAAGCCTCGACGATCACTTCAAAACCAGTTCAACAGTATTACAGACGCAACATTTTGCACAGAACGGCTGATAATTGATATCGCGGGGGTCTCATCAGAACTAATAGGTTCTCCAAAACATAAAAATAAATTAAATTACGATGAAATATTCTACTTCTTAGCGTTTGTTAACGGTAATACTTTAAATCTTCAGTTCAAGAAATGAAGATTTAGCAAACTCACCCTAAAAAGAGCCATGAGAGTCATTAAGTAGAGAAGTAATCTGATGACACAAGTTGGCAGAGGAGCAAAGTAAGCACAGAACGCGTTAGCCCATACTGGATCTATAGGACTCCTCTTGTTCTGATGAAAAAGGAATTTAGATGAACTTAGGGGAAATGTAGCGTGTAGGATAATAATTAATCTGTATGCTTTAAATTCATTATTCATATTAGAGGACTCCTCACCAGAAAATAAATACTCTATGGTGGGTGTTGACTGTTCAATGTTCAGGGGGAAGGGATTTGCTGGGCGTTCACTGTTCAATGTTCAGGGGCAAGGGATTTGGTGGGTGTTCACTGTTCTATGTTCAGGGGGAAGGGATTTGCAGAAGAAGGAAATTACCTGGAGCATGAAGCTAGCGGTTACCACACCCACTACTCCGTTCAAAAAATCGCATAATGCGATGTGTAGATAAATTGCGTAGGTTGCGGGATGCTCCCCATTCGTTTTTAATATACCTGCAGATATAAGGTTATTTTTAATATACCTGCAGATATAAGGTTATTTCTAATATACCTGCAGATATAAGGTTATTTTTAATATACCTGCAGATATAAGGTTAATATACCTGCAGATATAAGGTTATTTTAATATACCTGCAGATATAAGGTTATTTTAGTATACCTGCAGATATAAGGTTATTTTAATATACCTGCAGATATAAGGTTATTTTAATATACCTGCAGATATAAGGTTATTTTTAATATACCTGCATGAGATATAAGGTTATTTTAGGAAATAAAATAACCTGTTTTCAACTTACCAGGCGCTAAACTGAGTTATTTTTGGGGTACCATTCGTGTAAATAATATCCCTGAATCGCTTCCTGGTTATTTTAAGAAGCACCAGAAATCTTACGACTACTTGTAGGCGTGATAGTACGTGAATTATCCACACACTCCTACATAATATTCAAACATAATCAGGTTACTTCTATACGTCACAAAGTCTATACGTCACAAAGTCATGAGACCTAAGAAATGAAGAAATCCAAATACCAACCGTGACATTTAATTAGATTATGTGAATGTTCTCTTTTAACAGGTCATGCTTATAGCTTTTATCCTTAACACGCACGTACAGAATTATAAATAGTAGTTTTAGAAAGTATTTAATAAAAAAGTGAGTAGCGGATTTATCTAATTTAGAGGGAGTGAGATTAGTGATTAGTCCTGTATATTTCTCGGAATAGCAGCACTTATATTTTATAATACTAAGAAATGGATGGAAGAAGATCACTATCAGTTGTTGTTGCATCAACATTGAATTGTTCACTGTTTAGTTTATTTCGCATGGTTTGTTCCACATGGTTTCTTGAATATTTTGATAAGACGACCGTGGAAAATTAAAATTAAAGCCGGAAAAACTTCTTTCACAAAAAGTTGGTTAGGTATACGATATTTAAATTACTGGACATTGTTCCTTTCAAAACGAGTATCTTTAATTTAGGAACCGAAATTCGGATGCTCATGCTCAAGTGCCGGCACATTCCCATTTGGCCTCTGAATAATTTCATTTATAAAAGTCTAGAGTTTGGTAATTTGTTTTAAAATCATGTCTAACTACAAGCGCTTTGCGTCTTGCGATTAACTTAATATGCCCAGACTGCACCGATGTCGCGTACCTTTTACTTTGTTTTGGAAATGTTTAACTATTTAATTAATCAAATAATTATAGTTATTTGTATACCCTGGCCTGCAGACAATAAATATTTGTAAAATTGATTACGGAGGGGAGGGAGATCTAAAATAATCGTAAAATGTGATACAATAAATATTTTAATAAATAAAATGTGAACAACCCCTTATTGAATTTTCAATGATTGATAAATATAATGATATGACAAATAACTTACTGTAAATAAGCATGGAGTTAACAGACATGGCAACCAGTCCCAGGGGTAGCCCGGAGATGGTGATGACGCTGCTCGCAATGGAGGTGTTGTAGATACTGATAGGAGGGGTAAGGTTACCATCACCCAGTAGGTTGATGCTGTCTAAAGCGTCATCTGATAATATCTCGTAGAAGTCTGGTGACGACATTCTACAGGGGAATATTGGTGTGATGCTACCGTATCCAGGTGAAAAGAATACCGCGCGGCGTAATCCAGCCATTAAAACTCCTAGAATTATACCAAACATTCACAATCACTCCGCATAACCTACCTGAACTTACACTATTACTAATTCTAACGGTATTTTACTCATCCAAATCACAATATCCTACTCCTAGTCAAATATTAGGGTGATGATTAATCACTCTACACTCAACTGTCACGTGACTTTTTCAACCCGTTCTCTAGCTGGTCCTGAACGACTATTCGAAACCGTAACCCTTTAATCTGATTCCAATCTTAACCCTAACCCAATCCTTAACAAAAGCATATGCTGAAACCCTAACCCTAACCCTTATACGGTCATATCACGTGATCGAGACAGTTTTTCGCCAATATCTCGTCAGGGGAGCATTTTAACCCTATGTCATGGGGGTGACTCAGAATCAGCGTTCGAAAATACATCGTTTGAAGTTGGTTTCAACTGTCGGGGGCCCTTTTAGAACAATCTCGAAGATCGACTGTAGAGTGATTAAGCACGCTCGCAAATGTTAACTACGCTAAAACTGCTGCTGAATCCTGCTTACCACATAACACTACTTAGGTCGGAAAGAACAATAAATAATTCTTTCTGACTTATTGTCTCGGCGTTTGTTTTCCGGCCAGCTTGCTGTTCTGGTTCAGTTTATTAATGTTTTTTCAAAGAAATCTGCAAAATGAGCGAACACATTACATTTTTTCAACACCAGCTATTAGTATTTATCAAAATCCAGAAATTTTGGACTTTCACTCTTGTGAAAAAATTTTAACATTGGCCTCTGGTCTTGTACGATTGAGACTCTATAAGATTAAACTTAAGCCTTGAGTTAAGGTTTTTTCTGTAAAACTAAAACATGTCCAAAGTTCGAAGGTATGCTATACAAATTACTAACTACAAGTACAAACGACCAACAAATAATCTAAACAGAAACTGATATCTTTTTCGAAACAAATCATTCATTTAAGAAATCGTGGGAGAAATCATGTCAACCATCGATATCAATATATTAGTTATATTAAGACGGGACGCTTTAAACAAGTTGTAATATAATTTATATATTGATATTGATGGCGGAAATTATGTCTTGGATAATATTCGCCACGCGATTTCCGGGACACTTTAAGCACATTAGATATTGTCATTGATATAGATGGCGGAAATGCTAAAAAGTTCCGCCTGGCAAACCACATTCTCCTTTCAGGGAACAACAGGATTAGGTTACAGAGAAATCCTCAAACTTTCAAAAACCTGTTTGGCTACGAGAAACAAAACCGACTGACATTATCCAAGTAAAAATCATCCAAAAATTCTTTAAAAGGAACGTACGTGATATTTCAAAAGTTCAAGCAGAACAATCACAAAGCAAGAATCATATGACAGAAAATTTTCAAACATTTAATCAAATTTAAAAATGTCACGACTGAGACAATGACGGTACCAGCTAAATACATCCAAATTAAGTCTGCAGCAGTGCAAACAGTCACATGTACGTTTCCAGTGTAACTGTACCACTGTCTACACTAAGTAATGTCAATGAGTAGGTATACCCTTTTATTTTGGATTAGAGTTAAACTTAACATTTTAAAGGGTCAAAGTCACGTCGAATTTTAATCACCCTAAAAAATGGGGCAAATAACAGCTGTTAATTTTGCATGTCTGCGTACTTTTCAAATGTTTTTACAAAATGCTGAGTATAAAACATGCCGCGAAGTCGTTTCTCGGTTATAGGCTCAGATGTATCACTGACACTATTACTATCAGAATATAATACCTTACAGTGCTAAAAGGCTAAAGATTGAGCGAGCTCCGTGGTCACCGGTCAATTATATCGAGCCCCGGGTATAGTTGAAATATACGAAAATCGATTTATTTTTGGAGCTGATTCCGAATCACCCCACATGGCAAGGGGTAAAACGATGCCCTGACTAGTTCGGTACGTGACAGTTATAGGTCGCATTTTCAGTTAACAATAAAATCAGTAAAATAAACTGTTATAACTTATTTTATAACGTCAACGAGGTCTTATCAGTTATCGTCATCTTCATATAATATGCATAGCGTTTGATGTCTGTGTGAAAATAAAATGGTGACATCCTCTGGATCAGTGTTATCGGGATTACTTCTGTAGTACTAGTAGTTGTACAGCAATACTGAGGTAATAATATATAATGGGACTACTGCGGACCCTCTACCGGCCAAACCTTGTTAACAAAGCCGCAGTCAAGGTTCGGCTTATAACCTATTCTATTTAAATAACTTACGGTTCACATATATTATGTAAATTTAATCACTTTGTGGTCAGTTGTGGTTCCTGAACAAATTAAAGTAGCATAGGAAATTCAAAAATCGCGAACACGGCTGCCTAATATCACGGCTGCCTAAGAATTCAGCTGAAAAATCTCGAGCAAGATCAAGCAATAACTGAGTATAAAATTTGAAGCAAGTTGTATAAAACTGTAGCTTGACTTGGATCCAGAAGATTGAATTTAAAACTATTAATAAAATATTCGATGGTCGCCTGGCTGCAGAAAGTAGAGGCTGAAAAGTGACAAGGATTTGGTTGGTTCGGGCGGAACGACAGAAATTATTCTATAATTATTGGAGAAAAGGCTTGAGGCCATGCCAAAAGCTATAAAAAGTAAGTAAAACTATTCAAATAATATCATTATGTTTCTTTTAACAAATGTTGGTTAATAGACTATTCAATTGACTCTTTCTCTGATTACATTTTGCTTTGATACTCGCAAAGTTGAGGAAATCTCAAAACGGAATATTATTTTGATACTGCAAACAAATTCTGGCAGTATCAAAATAATTAATCAAAAGTTAATTAATTGATTAATTAATTGCAACTGAAAAGATAATTAAAAACAACTCATTTAACATAAAGATATCGTTACAAAGTAAAACGCGCGACAGTTCCAACATTAAAACGACTCAGCAACGAATACTCAAATAGCAAACGAGCAGCACTGCAGGCGCTAACATGGCACAGCTCACCACAGGAGAGTGTGTAAGGAGCAACTAAACACTAACAGACCTTATTTATTACACATCCACGCGCGCGCATCCCTCCTTGACAACTTTGGTGTGGAGAGCAACATTTCGCTATATAATAATCATAGTTATATTTATAACTTTATAACTTCAAGTTTAGCAAGCGGAATAATACATTCGCAAAACAAACACAAGTGTACTATTGCTATTTGGCTTAGTTACCTAGGCTACATCTCATGCAACAAAACTTTGAAAACATGCACTCTCAAACGGCCAGCAAGTATAAAGTGCTTTTGGTGTGGTTGGAGAGCAAACTTGTCACATAGGTCCAGGATCGCCCGGCATCTAGGTAAGGCAAGTGCTAGGATATGTGACAAAATTAACTACCCCCCCCCCCCCCCCCTATCCAGGATCCAGGAGGAAGCATAGTTTCTTCAAAAAGCAACTTAAAAATTAACGAAACTTTGCACCGAACAAATATACCGGAGCGTACAGTATATAAACGTTTGTAGTTTCTGTAAGATATCACTATCAGCCCAACAAAGAGCGACTATGATATATGATACATAAGACTTAGAGCAATGAGTACAAGCTGGATTTATTAACAAGTCTGACAATCCTAATCACCTGACTGATCATTCCACAAAGCAATAAGCAGTCCCTCAGAGTAAAAAAGTCCCTTCAGAGTAACAAATAGTCCTCTCAGATAACAAATACAAGCGGTCGATCTCGACCTGGTGATCAAAGACAGAATTTCAGCGGACGAACAAAGTCATTTCCGATTGTATTAAAAATAACGAGAGCGCTAAATCACTCTACACTCGAACTTCGAAATGTTTCTAGAAGAGCCCCTGACAGTTGAAACTTACTTGAATCGATATATTTTTAAAAATTGATTCCGAATCATCCATTAGTCATCTAGGGTTAAAATGCTCCTCTGGCGATATATCGACGAAAAAATGTTTCGACCATAAGTCATGTTATGACTACGAGAGTACAGTGATAAATCATCATTCCAAAGACTAGCCGTGCGTAACACCCCTCAGAAAAATGCCACTAAACTTACAGTTCGAGATTAACTAATGGGCATGTATTGCGGTAGCTGGGGGTGCAACGAGGCTAAAATTCCATTTTACAGTTGCCAGTGGTAATGCCAATGGTATTAGACCAATTTATTGGCGATACAGGTCACTTCAAGTGTAAAAACTAGTCGCGATTCCAAGAGTACTCCGGTAATATTTTAGGTGGAAATAGTGAGGTCTGGCTGGAAGTGGAGGGTACTGGTCGCTGGAGACACTGGAGACACTGGAGACACTGGAGACACTGGAGACACTGGAGACACTGGAGACACTGGAGACACTAGAGACACTGAAGCTCCAAATAGCATGAGGCTCGAAGTCTCTAGCTTCGATTCTTTGGAGTTGAAAGGTCTCCATATCACTGTTATACAACTCACAATGGTAATTGGTAATGGGCTCGAGGGACCAGGGCCGCTGAGTCACTACTCAAAACACGAATTACTATCCCATATTAATTAACATCTTTAATTTTTTAAAACAAAGAATATAAAGTTGAATCTGTTGACCCAGTGCTCATATTATGTCGCTAAAGTCGCTAATATTACAGAATTGCCGGTCCCTCCGTTTTAGAGAGGCACAGTTTCATTAAATCGGAGTTTTTGCCGTTATTCTAATATTAGAGTAGATCTGTTTCATCGAATTTCATGTTCATCAAATGTTCATGTTATCTAACTAGCTAGAAAATCTAATTGGGTACTAAACAAGTTTTGAGGGGTAAGCCTAACTTACTTAAGGTTATAAATGACCGGCTAAATTTCCATATTTAACACCAGTACTTCATGCTTCGTCATTAAATCAAGATTAGAGAAAATTGGTCACGAACGCATCAATATATACAAATATATATATATATTTGTATATATACTTTTGTATA